CTTGGCAGACTGCGCCCAAATCAAATAGTTGGAACCATCCAACTTCACTGTGGTGATTTAAAGTCCTGGATTTTCTGATGAGTTAAGTAGGAAAAATGGTACAACCACCCACAGACTTGAGCCAAGAGAATTAACAGTCGAGAACCTGAATCTGCTATAATCTGTCACACGACAATAAAAAAACTCCAAAAACACCACAAATTCTGCTAACAAATCAAAAGGTCTCTTTAGACCATAAACAATAACAATGTCTCCTCAGACCATTCCAGAAAAATCCAAATACATACTTTTTTTAAGGAGCGTTGCCCACTTACATATATCCAAACAGCCTCCTTCTTAATAACCGGAACCTCTTTGTAGACTAAATTTTTTTTACCCAAACCCTTCAAGGTGTTGGAGACCAACTATCCCAATTTACCCAACTCTAGAAGAGTAAAAAAGAAATTGTAAAACTTAAAAATACCTATTTTCGATCACAAAACAGCAATACAGAAAAACATGTGTAGGCAACGTCACATGATGTCACAAACAGCCTAAGGTGGTTGTCGCATAAGTAGCAAGGCTACTGAAAGGTGTGGAAAGGTGTTGGCCCTGATACCAAGTATAAATATAAAAAGAAGAAAAATGAGAGAATTGTGTAAAGACTTGAATGAGATGAATCACTCGTTCACAGCTCTAGTATTTATAGATTAAAAGAGCACATGCTCGTATTATAAGAAAGGAAACTAAATCAAATCTAAATCAAATCACAACATATTCTACGGCATATTCTATAGCATAATCAAATCTCTGCTAATATGGTAAGTCATTCCATAAATCGTGGCTATCATATATACTAACATATGCATAGTCAAATCTCTGCTATTATGGGAAGTCATTCCGTAAATCGCGGATATCATATATGCTAACAAGTATAGATATAGATATAGATATAGATATAGATATATTGTCAAGTTGTGAAAGATTTTCACAACATATTCACTTTAAGTTTTCAAATGAGACAACTAAATTGTGACAACCACAAATGGAAAGAGGAACAATTAAATTGGGATGGTGGGTATAACAAGAATAGGCCAAAAAGGAAAATTACAAACACAAGCAAAGAAGGCTAATAATACGTGTTTAACGCATAATCACTGAATTCTATACCTTTAAAAATGAAAAGGCAAATACTTTATATGTTTTGACAGATATACTTTTCTTCACAAGTTAGATTCAAAATTATATTTAAACCAAATCATGTGACAAATCAGGTGATTATGTTTAAATCCTCAATAAAGAGCACAAAAAACTCTCTCAGCGTGTTGAAAAGAAAACAACTAGTTGAAAAAATTAGTGAACGATTAATTGAGTCAAGTTCAAGAATGAATGCTAAGGCATAACAATCATTTATCAAAATTTTCACTAAATTATACTAGGTACCTAGTTTCCACTAGTGTAACATGTTTTGACTTATTTCCATATGGATGCAAACAAACCCACCACATTCCACTCATGTCATTGACTCATCATTCTAATCAACATCCATACCTATTCTCCGTGCTTATGGTGACTCCCAAACTTCATTAAGATAAGCTAATAAGATCATTAAGCTAACTTGACAAAATGTTGCCATCAAATTCTTTCAAACTGTAATAACCCCAAATTTTCATATTTAAAAAGAACGTTTTGATTTGTGTACACTAGTTACTACCATAAGATTGCACACGCTCAATAATGAAGATAATGATAGACCTGTTAGGACATTGAGTCAAGTGTTGGAGTATTCCTACTCAAAACCTGCGCAATGCGTTGTAATGTGTCAAAGTGTCTTACGTCGTTTGTGAATATCTATTGAAGACATGGTAGACACTAAATTGCGAAGATTAAGGCTGAATGTTGGCATCCTCAATCACACATTTGGGTAACAGGTAGATTGATTTTAGTAAGACCTTAGTTTGACTTGTTTTAATCTTGATTGGGCTTGTAAACATGTTCTGAGAATGTTTCGGATTATTGGCTTTCCAAAACTTGAGTTTTAAATGTTTTTCGAAATTGGACATCAAGCTAGAAAATAGTGTTTTGATTGATTGATCGAATCATTTCTAGCGAGCATCAATCTATTGGTCAGTTGATCAAACGTGTTCCAGGTAAAGTTCTTTTCAACACCAGAAAGCGTCCATCAATCAAATAGTTCCGGTAGGCTTCGATCAAAGGCTCGATCGATGCTACCGGTTGGACCTACGTTTTTGGAAACTCTCTTGAGACGCCTATGTTGGCTATAAATATGGGGTTATCGCCAGTTTACATGAGGTGAAGAGCATCTGTAAACATTCTTAAAGAAAGAAATTCCTGGAGAGAGATTTTGGTTATTCAATCTAGGTTATCCCAAAGAGCATCTACATGTGATTGAGTACTCTTCAAGGAGCAGATTATCGGTCTAATCCATTTCAACCAAGCAAAATCAGAGCAAACATTGACGAGTAACCACTAGAGAAGCAGGTTCGTTATGAGCAAATGTTTTAGACGAGCAGAAGGACAGCCTAGAGACTTTCGGGGAAAAGTTTGGTGTCATCTGCACCTAGAGGTAACTAGAGGTTCGAGGGTGAGTGAATTGTTAACTTGGTTGTAATATCTTTCTCCATAGTGGATTGTGCTTAATTGGATTAGGTCCCGTGGCCTTTCTTCTAGGGTTTCCCACTTACAAAAATTTGTCTCTTCCCTTTCGTACTTTATCTATTGTTTATGCTTATTTGTGATTAGATTGGTTGAAACCCTACTCTCCCTCTGACTCATCGAAGCCTCTAGTAACAGTCTAGCACACTTTCAGTAATAAAAATAATAAATAATAAATTACAAAAAGTTAATAAATTATCTTAGATTAAGGCCAAGAGTAAATATATTTTCTTACTAAGTTGTGCAGCTCATTACATTCTCTTGAAGGATATAAGTATTAAAGCTACACCCTCTCTAAAAGCTTAAGCTTTTAGAGTAGATGGTTGCTAACATGGTATCAGAGCCGCCAAAGGTCTTGAGTTCAAACCTCATTGTCACCCTAATAATTAAAAATTGAAACACGTGTTGGATCAAAAGAAGGCCACACGTGAGGGGCATGGTGAAGGATATAAGTATTAGAAGAAATACATAGAAGAAAGATAAGAGAAATATGTAAAAGGTTTGAATGAGATTCAATCACTCATTCACAACTCTAGTATTTATAGATTAAAAAGAGCATATGCTCATATTATAAGAAAGGAAATTAAATCAAATCATGGCATATTCCAGACATATGCGTAAATAAAGTCAAACTCCATGATTTGAGGCTATCAAATCTCTGCTAATATGGTAAGTCATTCCATAATTTGTGGCTGTCATATCTCTGATTCTGTGCTAACACTCCCCCTCAAGTTGGTACGTGGATATCTGAGACGCCCAACTTGGACAATACATCCTTAAACACAATCTAAGTGTCAATCAACTAATCAAAAGTGTCTCCTCAGGCCATAAACAATCAATGTCTCCCCAGACCATAAACAACTAACCATATCTCCTCAGAGCATAAACAACTAAGAATATCTCCTCAAACCATTTTCCTTAATACACATATTTAAAATATGTAGATGGAAGAATCAACAATGTCTCCTCAGACCATTCTCCTTCATACATATGTTTCAAATGTGTAGATGAAAGAATCACCAATGTCTCCTCAGACTAAAAATCATTGACAATGTCTCTTCATACCATTCTTGAATGAGTGGTGCCGAACTCGTACACCCTCATTGCAGTTGGGCCACCCTAGCTCTGATACCGAGAAGAAAGATAAGAGAAATATGTAAAAGGTTTGAATGAGATTCAATCACTCATTCACAACTCTAGTATTTATAGATTAAAAAGAGCACATCCTCATATTACAAGAAAAGAAATTAAATCAAATCACAGCATATTCTACGGCTAGACATGTGCGTAAATAAAGTCAAGCTCCATGGTTTGAGGCTATCAAATCTCTACTAATATGGTAAGTCATTTCATAATTCGTGGCTGTCATATTTCTGATTCTCTGCTAAGAGTATTAAAGTTACACCATGGTTGTTAACACATTCCTTAACATTTTTCAAGTGAAATGAGTAAAGAATTAGACGCCATTCCATTGTCAATAATGTAGCTGGATATTTCCTCATTTTTCTCACTACACTCAAGTTGTAGTTATTTTTCCTTTATTGGGATGTAATAAATGAGTGTTTAGAAGCTCTTCTCGCCTTAATTCTCATTAAATTTATTTTTATTGTTAAGAGAGCTAATCTTTGATTTGTCAAGAAATCAAAATATGTGAGTATTGATTGCAGGTTTGTATACACTTTGAAATAAGAGCACATTGAAAACTTGCGCCACATGAATTTTCGAGTTGTTACAATAACCCACACTCTTGACAGATCCTATTGATGCTAATTTTCGTTCTAATTTTTCCTAAAGAGTACCAATATATTCATGTAATCTACTGCAACCAAAACCACAAGCAATAGTTAAGATCAACTCTTATGACCATCTGCATGAATTTATCATATCACCCTTGACACCTCACAAATGAAAATCTGGTGCCAAACATGGACCGAGTACAAGTCTATAAAGTGCTCTGTCAGATAATAACGAATCCCATTCCTATAATGATCTTGAATAAAGTACAATCATTCAAAAAATCGCAACGCATAACATTACGTTCATGAGTGTCTATGTATCTCTCTCAATGCATGTGCACACATTAGATATCTATTTTTAAGTCTACCTGTGTGTATGTATATTATAGATGTACAAGCGTGTATGATCAAAGTCACTCTTCCATGTGCTGTCAGCTTTTCACAAAATTAAATTAGGTTATCATGTTTCTTTTTCCATGTAGTTTTATTTGACATGAGTGGCGCGTAAAACCATGTTAAAATAAAAAAAATTCTTGGATGGGTTTTGCAAAAAAAAGAAGTTCATTCTATTATCCAGAAGCCAGAATAATCACCAAAGGAAGGACTTACCAGAAATTGCACCTGAATGAGTAACTGTTGCTAGTGGAAAACTTGCAAAGTCATTTGCTGCTTGTGTACTTGGCTTTACATCTTTGGCACTTTGAGTCATTGAGTGATAACCGAGACTATCTAGCCTCGTTGATGGACTGAGAATGCTTTGAGCATTGCTTCCTGTCACTTCCAGAATAGTGGTCAAGTTCGAGACATTTTGAAGCTGTTGAGGAGAGTTCTGAATGTCAGAGATTGATGGAGATGGGGTGCTTATTCCTGGTGGTACGGCAGATGCAATGGGGTATTTAACACTAGAAGAAGCTGGTGAAATACCATGTTCAAAATTGTCTAGGCAGGTACTATCTTCATGATTTATGTCATCATGAGAGTGTTCCATGTTTATGTTTATTTCATAGTCCTCAGGAGACTCGGAACCAGAATACTCTGCGGAACGCACTGCTGGGAAGCATGATTCGATAGAGGGACTCTTTTCAACCCGTGATTTGGCAAACCTTTTTGTCAACAGCGTCATACTTCAAAAGTAAAAATAAATAAAAATAAATAATACATAAGTTTTCAATTATAGATAGATCATTTGACATAGAAATAAGTGATGGTCACCAATATTTACTTTCAACAGTTACATTGTAAGCCTGAGTTGCAAATTCATATGGATCCAGCAACTGAATCAAGTAAATGGCATAATTTTTGTGAGCATGCTATTGTGTTTTAACATATTTTGAGTGGCAGGCATGACAGATGGGATTATTTAACCACATTAAAAAGAAAGAGCATGTGAAGGGAACAAGTTGTTCTAGGTGTTTGGTCAGTGATCACACAATCACACTCTCCCCACAAGTTTTTTTTTTTTGGTAAGTAAGAATTTTATAAAAAAGCGCTCAAAGGGGAGCGAAACCCAAGGATACAAGAAGAAAAAACCAAAAAGGGCCTCAAGCCTTCAAAGAGGCCAAAAACATAACAATCTCCTCAACAGGACGATAATCTCTCCTTGAGACCCAACAAAAGAGAGTAGAAATAATAGAAAACTTAAGCATAGAAATGGGATTCTCCTTGCCATCGAAGTATCTTCGATTCCTCTCGAGCCAAATGCACCACCAAACAAAGAGAGGGGTAGCCCTCCAAGCATCCCGGATGAGCGCCCCAACAGAGACACCTCTCCAAGCCTCTATCAACCCTCTAGAGGAACAGGGCATAACCTAGGGAACCCCAAACAACCCAATCATCAAATCCCAACAATCTCTGGCCATACTGCAATGCAACAGAAGGTGATCCACTGTCTCCTCATCACAACGACATAAGTAACAGCAATTGATAACCACCTGCATTCTCCTCTTCAAATTATCCTGGGTTAAAATCCTACCCAAGACAGACGTCCAAGCAAAAAAGGCCACCTTAAGAGGAGCCTTGGAACGCCAAATAGCCTTCCAAGGGAAAGTGCCACCCTCCCCATCAGAAAGGCACCTGAAAAAGGATCTCACCTCGAAACGACCCTGAGAGTGTGGACTCCAAAGCCAACAATCAGCCTCCTCATGAGAGATCACCTGACGATACAATAACTCCAAAATACGAGTGACCTCCTCAATTTCCCAATCCTGAAAATGCCTCCTAAACTGAACGTCCCAAGTTAGTCTTCCGTTATCAAGGTGATAACAGTCAACAAGTTGATGAGCCATAGCCTACACTAGTTACCCAGTTACCACACAAAATGAAGGTTTTTCACTCCTTTCCTAAAATTACTCGGTGGTTGCAAATTGATTGCTATTTGAAAATACATTTTCATAAATTCTTTGAGTTTACATAAAGAAGGGCATCAACAGTAAGAAATTTGGAACATTTGTTTTAGCTTTTGAGAATGTTGGTGCACAAAGTGAAATTTTCCCACCATCAATAAAGTCGCGAATTTATGAAGTACAAAATCTTTCCGGAAAACAACAAAAAGAAATAAATTTATAGCCCATAAAAATTAAGAAGATTATTTCAGCAAAACAATTTATATGTTCTCTTCCATATGATTTTTTTTTTTTTTTTTGATAAGTAATAATTAAATAAAAAGGCGTTCAAGAGGGGAACGCGTCCCTTATACAAAAGTGGAACCAGGGTCTAAGGCCCCAAATAATCCAAAAAAATGATTAAATCATCGGAAGAGGAGCAAGAACTCCTCTTCACATAACTGAAAAGAGAGCGAATAATATGAAGTTTCAGCATCGTCATGGACAACTCCTTCCTTTCAAACATTTCCTTTCCTTCCAAATGCACCACCAAACGCAATGTGGGACAATTCTCCAGTAATCGCGTACACCTCTTCTCACACGACATCCTCTCCGAGCATAAATCAAATCTTTAGAAGAACATGGCATTACCCGATGCATGCCAAACAGACCAAGTATAAGATTCCAACAATCGTACGCCACGGGGCAATGCATAAGGATATGATCAACTGACTCACCATCTTGTTTGTATAGGCAACACCAATTAATCAAACAATTACCCCTCTTCCTCAAATTATCAATCGTCAGGATCTTACCCCATACAGCGGTCCATATGATTTACAAACAATAATCTATAAAAAATTTAGGCATTCTCTTCCATATGATTTCACTTGATGTTAGGAAAATTGAGTCGTATTTTGGCAAATTCCTACTCATTTTTTTGTTATAACGTGAGTCCAATGTCACAGTCAACATTCATCAACAGCACAACCTCCATCCAATCTATTAATTCATTTTCTCTCACGTCATCTCAAAGAGAGAATACGAAATCAAAGAGCCAAACACTACTACCTCTTTCAAATCTTAGTAACACACTGCCTTCTTCTTCAACCTTCAGGTGAAACGGCATTGTTCCTCTCCACTTCCCTTTAGATCTCTCTCACTTTTACATTTGATTTGCTTTTACTCCATCACAAGAGGAACGAACAGGTGCCGTGTCCGTGTCGGATAACCATGTCGAAAACCAACACTTCATGAGCATTCCTGAAGACGTGTCCGACACTTCATGGACATGTCCATAATTGAAAAATATTTTTTATTATTTCCGACATTTCATAGACACATTCTACACACTCAACCAACACATCCTACACTCTTCAATACAAGTCTTATATAACACAAACACAAAATAGTCTTCGAAACAATAGTATAAACATACGTCAAAGTGTCCAACCTCTTTTTCTTTAAATGAAAATATATAAAAAAAATATATTAAAAAAACATTATACACATGTCACAACATGTAATGATACTATAATGACAAGAATTCTTTAAATATAAAATTTAAAATATATATAATAAAAAAACATTATACACATGTCACAACAAGTAATCACACTTTGTCATATATGACAATAATATAATTATAATGACAAGGTATGAGAGTAATAGCATATATAATATATTTTGATAATATTCTGATAGATCTTCTAAATTATGTAATTTTAGTAAAGAAATTATAAATTAATTAAAAGTTCTATAATTGTCTTATTCAATAGACATATAAATGACAATTTATATTTATATTAGTCGTGTCCACATTGTGTCTGCGTCCTACTTTTCTAGGATTTGATATCTCAGCATATCCGGATCGTATCATATCCGTGTCCATGCAACTTAGACTCCATTTTTTTCCAAGGAAAATGCTTTTTCAGGAACAAGGTAAACATATTTACATCCATTTAACATAAAATGGAATCAAAAAGATTCTTCGTTATATGAATATATCTTTTCGGTGGGAAAATACAACCCTATATGTGCATTATGATCCTTAGATGCATTGTAAATTACAGAATCGGTCAAAGTGGTCCCGAACCGACCAATACTTCAGAGAACCGGCCAGTTTTGTTTTGTTTTTTTTATTTATTATTATCACGATAAATTGGCAAGAATCGGACTCGTTAGTTGTCAAGTCCATTGCAAATCAACAGGTTCGGCGAACTATGATCTAGAGTCATCCATTGAGTCTCTCTGCAATTTAGTGAGAGAATTCATACTTTTAGAGTGAGAAAATCTTGTCTCTTAATCTATGGTTTACCATATTTCATACAATATATGTGATTGAAGGGTTTCAAAGAAAAGGAGCACAACAGAGATTATATGATAAGAGCAATTCAATGAGCAAGTCAAAGATGGAGGATTGAATAAACCATGGAAAAACAGATTGTGTGAAACGTAGATCTCTTGATGGTGCAGTAGTCTGGAGACTCGAGTAGAGAGTTTCGCTCAAGGCAGTGTCAAGAGGTAACTAAGAAATGCTAGGGTGTAAATCTGGTAACATGGTTGTAAAACTTCTTTCCCATGATGGATTGGTCATGGCAGGACAAGGTCCCGTGATTTTTTCTTTTCAAGGCTTTTCCATGTAAAAAATCTTGTATCTCCACTTAATTTATTTACTGTTTTACGTGCTTGTATGATCATGATAAAGATACAAAATAAACTAATTGACCGATTTTATTATTTTTTGTTTTTATAAGTAACTAATTAACTGAACCTTGAATAAGGTTTGACAGTAATTTGAAATGGTAGTTAGTTGTAAATTAATATCTATTAGACGGTAGACCTTTTCACCCCATGTAGGTCTAATTAACCATGTGTACCCTAAGCTATCAGAGACTTTAGTAACGATCCCATATTTGTCAAAAGGTCAGCCTTTTAAGTTTCTAAAATTTAAAACTTTAGGTTTCATAAACCTAGGTTTCAGTAGAAGTCAGAAAAATGCACAATACTAAATTCTAAAATTCATGAACCTTTTGTTCTTAATAGTGAAACCACCACTTAAAAATGCCATCACCATCAGTGGTAGAGCCAGGATTTACTCCAATGGGGGAACTCTTAAACAAAAACAATAAATACAAAAATCAGATACTGATTGATATCATTTTTATTTAATACATTTACAATTGTTCTCAAACAGTTTTTATTTTTTTAAAATGCTGCATGATAACTTCAATATTAGTGCCAATATTGACCATGTTTGACTTTTCTCTCTTCTCTCTCTTCTTTTTTTGACGTCGGAGTCTTTCACTCCAGCGTCTGTCGTTTACATTTATGTTCTTTGCAGTTGGATCTTGGCTTTTCGGCAAGGATTTCTGTTATGTATCGCTCCTATCTCAGTGTTGCGACCTTACCTCGTCTCAATTTCAATGGTGATATTAAATGTTGTTCCGTTGGTGGTGATTCGGTCTTTAGGGTCGATCATCAAAGCATCAAGGAACATGAATCTGTCTTGCGATCATGCTTGGTTGGTCGCTTTGATAGAGATGTCGGGCGTATTGAAGGGATTGAGGTGTGAGCGACGAAAGTTTGGAAGGTTTCTAGCAGAGTGAAAGTTTCGTCCCTTCCCGACGATCTTTTTCTGTTCAAGTTTCCGTCGGAGCACGAGGCTTTAAGGGTTCTGGATGAAGGAAGGAAAAGATGGGGCGATGCATTGCTATCCATCGACATCTGGTATTTCGCGGTTGGATGCTCTGCAGTGAGAGATCGTAGCATACGGAGGGTAATGTTATTTGGTTTGCCCCTTCACCTGTGGTGTCACAAGTTATTTGAAGAAATCAAAAATCTATGTGGTGGATGTAGAGGCGTTGAGGCGGATGTGGCGGTGAGCGGAGAGAGAATCCTTCTCTACGTCTCCGCCGGAAAAACGATGTCGGAGTATGTTTTTGTTGAGGATCAAAGAGTGGCCTTTAAGGTTATTTTGATTGAGGAAGTTACACCTTGTATCCTCCCGAAGTCTCACTATGGCGCTGGTGAGAGTTCTCACATGCCGCGTGTTGAAACGATCATCAAAGGAGGTCGTCGGAATTTACAGCTCCGGCAGGGCCTTAAAGGAAGTAGGAGATTGCATGCACACGTGCCTGAAGTGCGTAGAAAGGGTAGGTACAGGAGTCGTATCAATCCTGTCCTTGTTCGGCGCCCACAATCTCAATACGCCCGTTTCACAAATCATCAAACACGTGGCACCGATCGTGGCATTAATGGAGCCACTAATGCATTAGACGCTAATGGGCTTAAGTTTGGGCCCGATGTACGTTCTGGGCTCTCTTTGTCTAATGGGCTCACCCACAGCACTCAGAAATTTAAAAGGGCCGTTAATTGGGGACCCCGCAATCAGTTATCAATATCAGTACTGAATAAGAAGCCCACTTCTCTTATCTTGACAAAGCCCAAGCGTAATGGGCAACATTTGAGTAACCCAATGACCAAGATAACGCGGGGGCCCATTTCTTTTCGTAAATCAAAGCCCGGCCCACCTCGCTCTCATTCTTCGTGGAGTCCACGCTTTAATGGCTTCTCCGGAACTGTCTGGAATTCGCCGGCGAAGAAGAGGTGGATGAACCTTTCTGCTGCCGAAACTGGTGTAAGACCTGCTGAAAAAGGGTTTCAGCATTCTCAGTGTTGCGCTAACATCTCTGTCAATCCAGAGCTGAAGGAAAGCACTAGATCTCTGTCTCAGGGCTCTCATGGAGTTCGGTGGTCAAGAAAAGAAAAGCAGAAGTGGGTTTCTTCTAATTGTCCAGGTATGTCTTCAGATCTTCAGAGTCCGTCTTCTGATCCACCCTCTTCTTCTACCCCTTCATGCGAGGTGATGAGGATTGAGGGGTGATGCAGCTGTTACAGAGAAGATGGATAGGCTGCCTTTTTCGAATTCTGAGTTAAATGGCAAGGAATTTGTTTTTCCTAGCCAATTGGTTACCGTATGCAGTGAAGTCAATGATCCCTTTGAAGGAGTAACGGTTTGTGTGGGAAAAGATTTGCAGTTTAAATTGTCCAATGATGAGGCTGTAGCTCTGTTCAAAGAGCTACGATTAAATGTTACGTTGCAAGGTCTCAAATGTATGCCTTCTGCAACGGACGAGGAGAATGAGGTTGGCAGTATTGTTGGGTTGGGTGATTATGTTACAGATTCAGATTCTGTTTATGAGTATGACAGAATAATTGAAAAGGACTTGGCTGATGAATTGGGGTCTACCCAAAAGGTCTGTTCTAATGAACTTCAGCCCCGGTTGAAGGATGATTCTAACATATCAGTGGTGGAACCCCTGGCAGTGGTGAGACCTGATGATGAGGTTACTGATTTGGGGAGGGATTGGGTGGTTGATAACGTTGGAGCTACCAGTGAGTTGTTGGGAGTATCTTCAGAAAGTAATAACGCTCAGACTTTATCTCTTCTTCAAGCAATTGTGACTGGAACCGAGATAGCAATCACTAATGAAGTTATAAAAACGAAGCCCATATCGTCTTGGAAAGGGATTCACGAGATTAAGAATCTCATCTTTGACATCCACTACAATAAGAAGAAATGAGTGGTGATGGAAAGGGGTAGGACTAGAAGCAAGAGTTTGAAGAAGTGGGGAGGGGAGATAATCTCAACTGGTTTTTAATGAAGCTACGAATCATTACATGGAATGTTCGTGGTCTCAATGACCCGAATAAGAGGAGGGTGGTGAAGGTAGCTTTAAGGAAATGGGAGGCTCAGGTTGTTTGTTTGCAAGAAACCAAGATGGCATCCATTACTGACGGGGTGGTTAGAAGTTTGTGGGGAGGAAGGTTTGTGGAATGGGAGGCTTTGGACACTATAAGTTCTTCGGGTGGTATCTTAGTTATGTGGGACAGTAGGTGATTGTCCAGAATGAATGTGTGGAAGGGCAGATTTTCTGTTTCCTGTGAGTTTCAGATGGAAGAGGATAATTTCAGAGGGCACTTTTCTGGGGTCTATGGACCAGTCGTTGATACTGACAGACCCATTTTATGGGAGGAACTAAGCCACGTTCAAGGTCTATGCTATTTACCTTGGTGTTTAGGTGGGGATTTCAATTCAGTCAGGTTCCCGTCAGAGAGGTGAAGAAAGTCAATAGACATGGATCAGTTTTTTGACTTCATTGATGAGCACCTTCTCATTGATCTACCAATGGAAGGTGCGACCTATACTTGGTCTAGTGGTGGAGACCCAGTTACTCTCTCAAGATTGGATAGATTTTTAATCTCTGGGGAGTGGGAAGAAAAATTCCCAGATGTTGTTCAGGCGGTATTAGAAAGGATTACCTCTGATCATGTTCCTTTAGTTTTGGATTGTGGGGGTTTGTGTTCTCGGAAAACCCCATTCCGTTTTGAGAATATGTGGCTGAGAGTGGAGGACTTCCAAGGGACAGTTCGTTCATGGTGGGAGGGAGCGATCGTGACAGGTGCACCCAGCTTTATATTAACACATAAAATAAGAGCTCTCAAACTCGCTCTTAATCATTGGAATAAGGATGTTTTTGGGAACCTTGAATCGAGGAAGAATAGAGTCTTTGCTGATTTTTCTGAGATTGATCGGCTAGAGGAGGCGGGTGGGAATGTGGAGTCTCTTTGTACTAGGAGAGCTTCCTGTCCGGCAGTTCTAGCTGAGATTGTTTGTATGGAGGAGATTTCGTGGCGACAAAAATCCAAGGCTCTTTGGCTGAAAGAGGGAGACCGTAACACAAAAATTTTCCACAGACTTGCTAATGCCCACAAAAGGAGTAATCACATAAGACGTATACAGGTAGAAGGCGTGGAGTTGTGGAGGGAGGAAGAGGTGCGTAGCGGGATCGTGTCTTTTTATCAGAAGCTTTATACAGAACCTTTAGGTTGGCGACCCAAGCTTGATGGTCTTCCTTTTAAGGCTATTTCTAGGATGGAGAGAGATGGGCTAGAGCTTCCTTTTACTGAAGAAGAAGTTCTAAAGGCCTTATCCAGTTACAATGGGGATAAAGCCCCGGGGCCTGACAGGTTTACTATGCGTTTTTTGTTGGAAAGTTGGGCAGTTGTGAAAAATGAAGTGATGAGCACCTTTCAAAAGTTTCATTCTACAAGTGTATTTGAGAAATCGCTTAATGCATCATTTATTTCCCTCATCCCTAAGAATGGAAACTGATGAGCACTGAAAAGTGCGCATTTAAACCCGTTAAGCTTAAGCATTCTAGTACCTTTATCTATCTTACTTTGCCGTTTTAGACTTATTACGTGTTATTTATATTTTCAGGCACTAATCCCAAAATTGAGCTAACTCAGCCAAATAAGAGCTTAATTGAAACAATCCTGAGATAAACCAAAGGAGGGAGCAAAGTGGAGAAAGAAAGGAGCAAAAAGGAATCAAAGTTGTGCAGCTGAAAAGTTCGATCGATCCAACTTAGAGTTCGATCAATCGAACATCTATGATCGATCACAGTACTTCTCGATAGATCCAACCTTGGCCTTTGCTGAAATTCCAAGTTCGATCGATCCAACATCACCTTCGATCGATCGAACCCTATTTTGTCATATTCAAATGATTGATCTTATCCACAACTGTACGCCTACCAACCACTTTTGTCCTTTTCCCCATAAATATCTTCGAAATATCTCAGCCTTGTTCTTATCCGGAGGAGTCAGACCACTTCGATCGATCCAAGATACAGTTCGATCGATCGAACCAATCTTCGATCGATCCAAGTTAAGGTTCGATCGATCGAACTTCCTCCAGCGAGAAAAAGTTAAAGTCTAGCTCATTTATTCCGTCCTTCACCCAATCATTGGAGAATATGCCTTGCACGATCACAGCTCATCATAGGGTGTATTTGACCTACCTATATAAGAAATATGATACACTTTTTGGAGGGGAGTCTAGAGTCTCTTGACACACATTGAAAATCATCTTGGAGGCTCTTCTTGGAGAGGAGGAAGGAGGGAAGCTAGAGCACCATTGGATGAGATCTTCACCAACAAGGAGCAGCCATGGAGTTAGCCCTTGAGGGTTGGATCATCACTACCATGAGTGGCTAGACATCCTCTTGGGGCTAGAGTTAGCCCCAAGCATGCTTTCTATACTCTAATCTTGTGTATTATTGAGGGATTAGTGTTGTATGATACATCTTGATATTCATGTATATATAACTCTTGATTATTTCATGGTTTGTATGGTTTAATGCTTCCAATTGACTATTCTATTCTACCCATATGTCTATGTATGCTAGAGTAGGATATTCATGTACTTATCTCTAGATGTAGTGTTTTTGATGCATGTCTATGTGTATTGATGCTATAGATCTAGAGATTATCAAGATGATATGCTTAATGAATGCTATTTTGGTTCATTTGATGGTTTATGCCTATTCTTGATGGCTTGTGCCTCTCCCCTAGTCTAGATAACTTTATTTTCATGCTAGTAGTGTAGATTTAGTGTAGTGGTAGTATAATGTTAGATGGGAGGACAATCTACTCTTGATGTTTGATGTTCCATGCTTGTGAGTCCAAATGGCATATTCCTCTAATATTGTGTTGTATGTGGATTGTGAGCTTAATGAAGGATTAATGACTAATTATGATATGTTGTATCTTTCACATGTGTTTAGACAATTTATTCCTCTCCCAATAGATAAATTGTGGCCTCTCACATGATGTTTAGATAATGCATGTTTAACTAACTCATCCTTATGGATTGCTTGGACTATGAGCTTAATGAAAGGTTCAATGACTTGATTTGATATTCTGTTCTCTTCACATGATGTCTAGACAATATATTCCTCTACCAATAGATGTATTGTGGCCTCACACATGTTGATTGAGACAATTTGCACTTGTTGAGTCACCCTTACCAATTGAATATCTTTTATACACACAACATTGTTGCAACACATTCATTTCCCTCATTAATCACTTGATTATGGTTTGGAATAGTATTGTTTGGTGGTGATCTCTACACCCCAAGACCTTTCCTTCTTACTTACTCTTTATCTCATTGCATTTTAATTAATTCTTTTCTAGAAGTAATCAACCAACCCAATTCTCTTTTGCAATCATTTGGTACGCTAGAGTCGAAGTTGAAATTCCAACACGTATAATCCCTTGGGACGATCCCTACTCACTCTTGCTACGTTAGTAGTAGTGTTGGTAGTGGTTTTTATAAATTTAAATTTGACATAAAAGGCTTTTCTTGAACCACACATTCACTACATTCAGTTTGGCGTATTGGAACGGCCGTCGTCAGAAACGCTTCAAATATTAAGGATTTTCGTCCTATTAGCTTAGTGGGTTGTATTTACAAACTCATAGCTAAGGTGCTTGCTCAAAGAATGCAAGAAGTTATGGATGGGATTATTTCAGATTCCCAGAATGCCTTTGTTGGAGGTAGGCAAATTCTTGATTTAGTTCTTATCGCCGATGAATGTGTGGATTCAAGGTTGCGTAATGGTGTTCCTGGAGTTCTGTGTAAACTTGATATTGAGAAAGCTTATGATCATGTTAATTGGAATTTCCTTCTCTATTTGCTTCAAAGAATGAGGTTTGGAAGTAGATGGAGGACATGGATTCAGACATGTCTGTCGTCTGTTAAGTTCTCAATTCTTGTGAATGGTTCTCCAGCCGGCTTTTTTGGGTGCTCTCAGGGTATAAGACAAGGTGATCCATTGTCATCTTTTCTTTTTCTTATTGTTATGGAGGGCTTAAGCAGACTTATGTGCCGAGCAGAGAATCTTGGTCTCATCAAGGGATTTCGGGTGGGAAGAGATATTACAAATCAGGTGGAGATTTCTCATTTGTTATTTGCATATGACACTCTGGCTTTTTGTGATGCAAATGTGTCTCAACTTAGATATTTGAGATGCATTCTGGCTTGCTTTCAGGCAGTTTTCGAGCTAAAGGTTAACGTGGCCAAGAGTGTGCTTGTTCCAGTCGGGAATGTACAGGACATCTCTTCTCTAGCTGCGGTTCTTGGGTGTAGGGTGAGTTCCTTTTCTATCCCTTATTTGGGATTGCCCCTAGGGGTTTCTCCCAGATTAGTGGGGAGTTGGGATTCTGTGATTGATAGGTATGCAAAGAGGTTGGCAGGTTGGAAGAAGCAATATTTGTCAAAGGGGGTTAAAGTTACTCTTATCAAGAGCACTTTATCAAGCCTTCCCACTTATTTTCTTTCTATGTTCCAAATTCCATGCTCCGTTGCTAATAGAATTGAACAAATTCAAAGGAATTTCCTTTGAGGAGGAAGGGGAGAAGAGTTCCAGTATCACCTTGTTAGATGGGAGCAAGTCTGCAAGCCTATAAAACTGGGGGGGTCTCGATATTAGACGATTGATTCCTTTTAATCAAGCTCTTTTGGGCAAATGGTTGTGGAGATACGAGAAGGAAAGACACCGCCCTTGGCCTAGATTAGTTTCCTGCAAGTATGTGGATGATGTTGGCAGATTGACTACACGTCCGGTTTCTATTGCGGGAGGAGTTGGGGCTTGGAAATCCATTCGGAAAGGATGGGATGCATTTTCTCCTCATGTTAGATTCAGTGTTCGTGATGGCAGTCGCGTTCGTTTTTGGGAAGATCTTTGGTGTGGAAATCAGCCTTTATGTCGTACTTTCCCCAGATTATTTAGTATTGCAGTTGATAAACATGCCACCGTAGCTAACTGTTATCAGCTTGATAATAGTGGAATTACGTGGAATGTTCTTTTTCGGCGTTCTTTTCAGGATTGGGAGCTAGAAGATGTGAGCATTTTTTTGGATCAATTGTACTGGCAGGAAGGACTTGGCAGGGGTTATGACGATTTGACTTGGATTCCCTCTTCTCGCGGTCATTTTGAAGTAAGGTCTTTGTTCTTATGCTTGTCTAATTTTGCACCCTATGATCTTCCATGGAAGACTATATGGCGCTCTATGGCTCCCACTAGGGTGGCTTTTTTTGTATGGACCGCCGTTTGGCGTAAGATTTTGACGATCGATAATTTGAGAAAAAGGGGAAACTATTTTGTTAATTGGTGTTGCATATGTAAACAAAATAGGGAGTTAGTCGATCATCTCCTAATGCATTGTTCTGTAGCGCACGACTGCTGGAATCTTATTCTTGGGCTTTTTGGCATGTATTGGGTAATGTCACATTCTACTAAGGAGCTGATTCATGCTTAGAGAGGTTGTCGTGTGAGTAAAAGTGTTCGTGATTATTGGAAATCTATACCACATTGCATTTGGTGGTGCATTTGGAGGGAGAGAAATAGTAGAATGTTTGAAGGAAATGAGTCGTCTACAGCGACACTGAAACTTTTTATTATTCGTTCTCTCTTCAGTTATGTGAAGAGAAGTTCTTGTTCCTCTTCTGATTTTATTTCTTTTTTGGATTCCTTGAGGCCTTAGTTCGCAGTTCTCTTATGTCTATGGGACACGTTCCCCCAGTGAACACCTTTTTTAATTTATTATTACTTATCAAAAAAAAAAAAAAAAAAAAAAAAATTCATGAACCTTAAATTTCATAAATTATAGGTTTAAATTTAATGAAGTCTAGATATCTCAAAAATAATAATAATAAATAAATAAAGTTGCTTTTTCAAGGTTTTTAAGAATTATAAAACTCTAGGTTTCAATAAAGTCTAGGTTTCATTAGAAATCGCCAAAAAGTAAATTTATAAGTCATGACACTAATATTAGAGATTCGTAAAATCTAGATATTTTTAGGCTTTACAAAAAAATCCTTTATTCATTTCATAAAAGTACATTTTCTTTTTTTTTTACAAAAATACCTAATTTCACTTTTCAAAAGAACAATTTTTGCAAAGTTTAATCATGTAATAAACAAAACTCTTAAGAAAAATATATATATATATATATATCCTGTCAAAGCTTTAAAACTGAACTTTTATTAGAAAGTACTTAACAATAATCAATTTCATAAGAATTAGTGTTTGATCTCCTCCGAATTCACTATAAGACTCAAAATCATTGAAAAATATATTTTGCATAAGTAAAAGGATTTATATTTAATTTTATAAAACAAAGATTTGTATAAATACCATAAAATTCAACCTCAATATAATATCTTATTGGAAGTTTTATAAGAAGATTAAAATAGCTAATATTCAATATATTATACATAACACGTGTTTTATTATAAGAAAGTCTTATAAACTAGTCATCGTAGAATTCTGGAAATGTAGATTTATAGGGTACCAAATAAGCAGCACATAATTTTGATAGTGAAAATTGAAGTATTGTTTTGTCTATGGAAGAAGTCATTAGCAAGAAAAAACACAAACTTTTTATACTAATTTTATACATTTATTCATACGTCCTAAGCCTGTGTTGTGTAATGTGTACCATATTTCTAAAACAATAAAACAAAAACCAAAAAAAAAAAATATATATATATATATATGGTACAATTCATAACTTCAAAAAGGTGAGTTAATTGAGTGCTTGTCCTCGACATAATTTTATTCTAATCTAGAAATCACAACTTCAGTAAAACCATTATCAGAGCCGGATTAGGGCAATAAATAGGCACATAATAATTATTAAATTCATACATTCTCTTTTTGGTTGCTGGGAAACTGCAGGGAAATAAGACAAAAGGAAAAGTCGACATTGGGCCAACAAGTCCACATTAATATTATTAATTTTTTTTTTTTTTTTTTTTGAGGTGTTGAGTATTTAACTAAAACATCAGTAAAGAAAGACTTCAATTTCCCTTCCCTTTTTATCCCCTAAATAAAATTTCTAGGCAACCAAACCGAGGTTCGAGCCTCATTCCCTTCAACAACGAAATTAAACAAAGAAATCCGCCAGAAAATTTAGGAATTTCAAGAAATAACTGGCCCAAGACATTGCGAATAACTGGTCGCTTCGACGGTATCGGTTGAAGGAAGTGTGAAACAGAGACAGACAAAGGCGATGAGGAGTTAGTTGCAGAACTTGACAGAGCGAATGAAACTATACATATATGTGTTTGTGTAGTGTAAAAAAGAGAGAGTGAGTGAGTGAGTGAGTGAAAAAGGACATTGAATGAGTGTTTCGTGGATCCATCGTCAGAAGATTCTGAGATTCCTTCCGCTTGATTGTTGATTAGCCGACTCTGAGTTTGGAACATTTTTCCTGCTGGAACGATAGCGACGTCAGTGACTCTCTCGGTCTGGGGATGAGAGAGAGAGAGAGAGAGAGAGAGTGGTGTCTTTTAAACTTTTTGAAGAGTACCTTTGACGACCTTTGCTTAAAGCCAATTATTGTGTTACTTTAACAATTATTGTGTTACTTTAACAATTACTGTGTCATTTAACCATTTTACTATTAACCATTATTGTGTTATTTTAACAAGTAAGCAGAGGCCTGTTTGGAAAATGTCTAAGATATTATTTTTTTGATTGATATTAATTTTCAAAAAAAATTTTGTTAAACATGATTTTCATTTCTCCTCAAAATACTCCTAGAACAAAACGGTGGTTTTGATAATATTTACCAAAAACATAACGTAAATTTTTTACCCAGTATGGTCAATGACAATACGCCGTTAATGAAAATTAAAAAAAAAATGACTAAGTTGCCCATTCCTTGCATTAAAAGACCTCAATAACATTATATTTTGAAATCAAATGACAAAAATACCATGAAATGCAAATGATGCAACCTTGAAATAGGTCATGCATATGCACTTTTGATCCTCAAGCAACCTTAGGTCATACTTCATTGAGTAACATATAATGACCTAATGGAACTCCAAGGCCAAAGACATCTTCAAAAGTGTCTGAAAACAATTTCAGATCTCTACCAATTAACTAATGTTGAGAGTGCTGAGTCTTCCACAGAGTTTAGATTTGAAGGAATTGTTGTATCAACTGATGAAAGCTATTAGCCGACTGGTTCAAAGTACCAATTAACTGATACTCAAACCAGCCGACTGATTCTTGTTAGAATTTGAATCTAATGGCTATGATAGCATTAAATGCACTCTCAACTACACTCAACAGCCATTTTCCTGCCCAGATTTCTCTATAATGGCCAAGCATTTATGAGCTTAGATTTGATTGTCTAAGCTCATAAATGCTTAGAAACATTTATCAGCATTTAAGAGCTAGAGCATTCATTACAATTTTCATTATCTCATTCAAGTCTACATAGACTTAGCTTCAACTTGATTCATTATACTATAGTCTTGCGAGCTTAAATTTGATTATGTTTGAGAGATTCTATATTGTACTTCAATTTCCTTTCAACTTATCAAAATGGTTGGTTTGAACAAAAGAAAGTCTAAGAGAATGTTGTTCTCTTAGTAAGAATAAAGGAGAAGGAAGGTTTTGTTTCTTGTAAAATGTTTGGTCTTCACTCGAAATGAGAACCCATAGTGGATTTTGAAAAATCTCAAAAGGGATATCATGGAGTAGGAGTTCCGAATCTCGCTAAATCACAGTGTTTTAATTTTCAATTTCTCTTTCCTTATCTCTTATTTAATTGTACTTAACTTGCTTAAATTGTTATATCTTCTTGCACACTTTATAAAAATAATTGTTTAAGACTTGCATATTTTTTAAATTCGAGAAATTAATCATTGTTTGCCAAAGAACTCTCTTATTACTAGTACTAACTCATCCCCTCTAAAGTTATTTATTGGGTAACAGTTACTAGCAGGCTCATAACTTTTATGGCGGAGAACTCTCTGATCGCTAATACTAAAATGTTGTTAGGTTTTAGAGTACAATTATTGGATTTGGTTAAGGCCAAACATTCAAGAAGTCAAAGGTAAAAGAAACTTTTTTTGTACAGTCATCAACAGAGCGTGGCAAGGGAGAAATAGAAACAAATAATAATTATTATAAAAATAAAAAAAATAAAAAAAAAAAACTAATTTTCTCACATGAATTTAGAGTCACAAATCCAACAATCTCCACCATGGCTCGAATTATGTCTTCATGCACTTCTCTATAGCTCTACCTCAACTAAATATCTCTCCACCTCGAAAAAAACATTTTCTTCCTTCCTTTTCTCACCACTGATGCGATAATTGCTCATGCATAGCAACCCAACAGTCAATCAACTAATCCCCATCAATTGCTTTTCTGGTTTAAAGTAACAAACCTCACTTCTTCATTTCATCGCATTCACCCCCATCTTGGAAACGAGCATCCTCTCGCTTGTCCCAAGACTTATTTCTCCTGGGCTTCACATTTTCATCTTCTTTCTTTATCTTCTGATCTAACAAACTTTACACCAATCTTTTGCTTTGATCCATAGGACTAACCACATGTTTTGGCCAACTATCGGCTCTACTACGAGTTGTTAGAGATATTAACTCCCTCTAACCCATTCCATGGTCGGTTGTTGTAATACCTCTAATTTCAAAAAGGATAGTCCTGGCATTTTTTTTGGTATTTTCTTTATTGTTTAAATCTTTTCTTTATTGTTTAAATTTCAATTTTTATTGTTTCAGTAAATATATGTTTATTTACTTGATTTAATTGCTGTAATTGAATTTACTTGTTTAATTATTTTTTTTACTCGAATTGTTTTGATTGAATTAATTTACTTTAATTTAATGGTTTACTTGTTTTAATTTAATTGTTTAAATTTAATTATGTTTTCAATGTAACTGTATGGAAGGTGGCACACATATAGTTATATTAGGTTTTCAGTTCAGCCGACGTTGGAATATAACCTAGGTTGTTCTATGGGCCGAGTAAATCAGATTAGGGTTTAGTTGAGCCTAGGATTAATGTGGCCTATAAATATTCACCTAGGATGTCTACCTAGGGTTTTAGAACAATACTATGACATAGTAAAGTTGAGAGAAGTTTTGAAGACGGCTGGGAAGAAAACAGAGAGTTGCCCGGAGACTTTAGGACGACGTCGATGTAAGGCAAGTTCTATTCCTAACTCTATCCCTTAGACTGGTGTTCTTTACATCTCTTATACAATTCCAGGGGTAAATAAATGTTGAAAGTAAACTGGTTTGCATGTTTGAATTGTTCTAAACTGTATGTTTATATGAACTGTTATTTTTTTGTGTTAATTCTTCTTTGCATCCTTCTTGGGTTAGTTGAAGTTAATTACTGAGGAATGAATTTAAAACTCTTTGAAACACTAGAACCTAATTTTAAATCAGTAGAAACCTTGTCAACGGAGGACGGAAGTGATGGAAACCGCCGGAGATCAAACCGTGGAAGGAAAACAAGTGAACGGGGCAAACGGAGCAAGGAGGCCGCTCCCACAAGGGTGGAGCCGGCTCCAATGCAGGTTGAGGCGGCTCCACACAAGGGGGAGGCAGCTCCACCCCCTTTTGATGCTATCTGGGCGAAGTTTTGCTTCTGGGTTGAGTTTTTGAACTTTCTAGGATATTCAAGGACTGTACATGGGGATTTAGAGGAGTTCTATGGTTGTATTAGAGCTCCCGAGGATGTGGGAATGAATAATAAATCATTTAGGGTTGATAGGTTAAACATCAACCAGTTTCTAGCAAGTTATGCAAACTATTCGTGGAAGTGAGTGGTTTAAATTTCTTAAGTTATTCTAGAAACTTTCTGGGAATAATTATCAAATACTAATCATGTATTTGTGGTATAAACTAAGCATGTTAAAATCTATATATTTTTCCTAAGCTTGCTATGGAATAATTGGTGTTTAAATTGTCTTATTTATCGCATCAATTGTTGGACTGGAATTTTGAGTATAATAATTGGTCAAGGTTTATTATGCTTATTGTGGAGTTAATTGATGTAGACTTTTAATCATGTTCTCTCAATTATATGGAATCCGGGGATAAGTTAATACCTGCATATACTGTTGTATTATTAATTGCAAGATTGTTTGTTGGGTAGTGTATACTCAGCATGTTAAAAGATGTTAATTAATATGCTCACTTATGGAACAATTGATGTTTAAAGTTAATGTTATTATTCTCAATTGTTGGATTTATGGATTTGGATGATATTTACATGCATGTTCTGTATTATCATTGCTGAATGGACGGATTGTATGCACCGGTATGGGACGGTGACATACTAGTGGGATTAGCTCAAAAATCGCTAAGTCCTACCTACTCTGGAAATTAAAGAATGGGATTAACTAAAAGTTAAGTCCTATTGATTTGTAGTGTCATGGCAACGACTAGTTGAGCGGCACTACTAGGGATTATGGATGGATTTTATATATATTGTTATGGTACATCGATATGAGCTTGAGCCTCAGGATCGATGGTTAAGGAGCGTATATGCATCGGGATGCATAGCTGGCTACGATGGTTGGAGGTGCACCCTATTTAGACTTAGGTACACATGCCCACTTCGTGTGCGTTTTAGTATGTTACCTCTATTCAGGTTGAGACCGACCTGTAGTCCAGTGAGAGTCCTTTAGTGTGATTATATATATACTTACGGACTATTAGTTATTGTTGAATTGTTTATGATGTACATGCGTATCGAGTCTTTGCTTGGATTGTAGTAGGTTAGAACTTGCGCGTGAGCCTGACCCACTTCTATTTTTCAGGTACACGACAGTTCCAGACTTACACTTGATCGTGCTGAGCAAAGATTTCTACTCACTCTACCGATGACGTAGGACTCTCTCCATGGCTTATCTCAGGATGTTCTTTCAGTTGTTTTAATTCAGTTTGGATTATTATTAGGGGTCCACTAGAGATGGATTCCCGAGTTGTTTAATCTATTGGAGGTTTTGGATTATTGGGATTTAATTATTTATCTTTAAAGGATTTTATTTTAGTTTCTTCCAGTTTGTAATATTTATTCTTATTTCATTTTGTCATCTGTGTTCATTTTTTAAATATTAATTGTCTGATATTCCCTCGGGTTTGGGCCTGGGCCTGATCAACCCATGTCTCGGATCCGAGGGATATCACAGTTGTTATTGAGAATTAAATCACTCATTCATCACACATAGCGAAAACATCATCACATCACATCGTCTTAATACAACCGCATATGAAGATAACAATCATACACATCCATGCATAACACACAGTATTTTATATTAAGGAGGATAATATACAACTAAATGTAAAAATCCTAACTCACTCATCATCTCTTTTGAGGCTACATCTCTAGGAATTACATACACTCTCGCCCCCGGCGGGCTAGCAGTGATGGTGGGGCTTAGGACTGCCACACAGGATGCCAGGGTTCGAGTCCTCTACCAAGACTCTAGTTTCGTCTATTTACCCGGTATTGCAGCTATGGGGCAGGCTGCCGTATCCCCAGTTTGTTGCTTCAGGGTGGGGTCCGTAAGGGTTGTGTCTTGGGGAGTTCTGGGTTATCAAAAAAAAAAAATTACATACTCTTCTGTCTCCTCACAACACTCTCCATTAAACCCCTTACATATTCCTCTTTCCTCTTCTCTCTTCTCTCTACCAAACCCATATCTTTTTATAGTCTTCAAAGTTCAAACCCAATTCTTTCCACAACTTGCCTACGTTACCATATCAATCTCCAATTCTAAAATAGAAGCATCCTAATGAAAAATAATGTCTTTCACAAATCAAGGCCCTTTGGAAAGTCCCAAAAGAAAAAGAAAAGTATTTTTAACACACGAATTTAGGACCAATTGAATAAACAGAGATTTGTCTGATAATTAACTATAAGCTTAAAGTCCCTTCCATGCCCAAAATGCGTTAACATATACAATTTAGCAGGGAAAAACATATATGTTTAATTCTAAAAGTATATTGGTCTCTCAGAATTTTATATTGAAGCTATATTCATGTTTCCATACGTTGCATTTTCTAGATCCCTTTCGCTTATGATTTAGGAACATCATTCTGGTTACAAGAAGCAAATGCACTCAATCCGCCGAGCTTGATGAATGTGGAGCACATACTGGAGAATAAAAAACATCCCAGTTTTTGTGCCAAATGTAACATAATACATACATAAATAGAAAGTAAAAAATTATTAAAAAAAAAAAAAAAAAAAGAGGAAAAAGAAGAAATTGGGCAAGTCGTTATAATATTAAACATGGAAAACTTTGATCGTGACGTGAACAGTTGATACAACGACATGACTGGTATTAACATAAAAAAAGTTGCAGGAAGGTACAATTCAGAAAACTAGAACAAGACTTGAATAAAAATCAATTTCAATAAAAAAGAAATAAAAATTACATGAGTTACATTGGAAGTGCTCAATCCACCAAAACAAAAATATTACACCTAAAATGTTAAGGTCTATCTGAATTTTTCAAAGTTCATCCACATTCAATAGTCTTCTGCTCTATCTAACACAATAAATAATTTCTTGGACCAAAGATGGTGCTAGACCTATATGTATGACTGATCACATCAACAAAAAGGGGAAATTGTAACAAAGCAAACAAGATTACAGGGACACATGCAACTAAAGCCATTGGAACACCAATCCATTCCAATCCCTGGCTAAGAACAATAAAAAAGGTGGCACAAAAAGATATCATCATGGTGGCAATTGAGATGAAGAGGGTTGCCAGTCCCATTATTAACCTGTTAGGTAACGAGTCGAGAAAATCTTCTTCAGCATAGCGTGAGGTCAGAATAGACAGGAACATCAATATTGAAGTGGCAGATGAGAATAATGCTAATGCATCTGAAATGGCGAAAACCATGAAGGGCTTCTTTGATATAAAAATTGGCCTTCCTGTATTATCATTATTGCCACCTGGTACACTGAAGGCAGCAGCAAACATCACGGTGGCAATGAGCGTCGCAACAACCATGCATGAAGATGCAGTATCCTTCATCCACTTCTCCCCTTCATACACTAAACCTTTGTGCCCCTCCGTAAAGAGAAACTGAGGTGTCCTCCCCTCAGAGTCTCTCATTTCTGTATATAGAGGTTGGACAATCTTTTCTACCTCCTGCAATCGTTAGGAGGCGTTAGAGTTTGGAAGTAAGGAACCTAACAACTTCTTGGCAAGAAGAACACAACTATGTTTATAAACTTGAAACAAGCTTATTTAAATCTCTAGTTATTTTCTGCTCCCTTTGAAAAGTTGGTGCAATAGAAAAATAATATTTCAGATCCAAAATATTTTTAATTTGAGGATAATTTAATACACACAGATATATGTAAAGAAGGCATTTAAAAATAAAAAATAAAAAATCAGTAAAGTTATATATAAGAATTTTCTTTCTTTTTCTTGTTTGAAAGAAAAAAATGAACAATGCAGTATGTTGAGGTGAAATAAACCTTGAACCAGTGCAACTCCCGTCGCAATTGCAAAGCAGCACCAGAATCAGTTTTCAGCCTATTCGGAGGTGCTAGCTTTCCAGCCAAATGCAACATGTTGTTATTGTTTTCATCTTTATAAGCTGCTATCAAATCCTTATGAGCTCCTATCTCATATATGAGATTAAAAATATTTTCCTGGCGATGTGCCACTGCAATGTGAAATATGCTTTGACTTTTATCATCAACTTTCCAAATAAGATCAGGATATGATTGAATAAGCACGACTACAAACTCCACAATTCCTAGCTCTGCAGCAGTAAACAGTAATCGAGAAGGAGTCCTTATCAACTCTCCAATCTTTGAGTCGTTCAGTAACAGAACCTGACTCCATAGTCGCTTCACCAATTCCAATGCTTGTATTTGCATCAACTTTTTGTCATAAATTACTTTCAATCCTGGAACTGCATGCAGTGTTGAGTCAAACCAAGTCTGTGAAGCATGAGGAAATAGTGTTTTTTTTTTCCTAGTTGATGAGGAAATAGTGTTCGTGTTGCATACCTAAGAAACTCAGGACTTTCCAAAGTAGCACTTTCAAGAAAGGAACCACTGCAAAAAAGAACTAAGAGACAATAAGAAACAAGATGTAGCCAAGTAAAAGAAAATAAGAAAACTTTCTTTTATTTTTTTTGGATGTTTCATAGAATGACTTGTTCAAATGTAAAACTAAAGCTAATTAGGGCAAATACCATCACAGCCAAGGCAACAAGAAACTGGACATTGTTACCCCCAAAAAAAAAAAGAAGAAGAAAAAAAAAAGGTAACCAGACATTGATTGAATCCAGAACACATTGAGTATGATCAATCATTGTTACCATAAAATTATATGACAAGATCTACCCCTAAAGCTGAAGATAAAGGATTGTTCAAAGACATTTGTTGGTTGGCCAGCAAACCGTGGCTAGAAAGTTCATTTGTGTTGAAGAGAGGACCATCACTGTAACATCCCTCTCCTTATTAGATACTAATATTTTCGATAGAGTATTTTTTCCTGAATTGGATAGAGTATATTTCATAAAAATAAAATTTGATAATAGTGGTTTGCTATCAATTATGCTAGCGTATTTGGATTTGGAATTTTAAGTAATTCCTTTTTGTTACTTTGAAAAACAAAATATTTTTAAATTTTGTTTATGTGGGTATGTTGAGATCTATTATAGTCCCTGTACAATTAAGAATAAAAATGATCATATACATATATAAATAAATAAATATATATATATATATATATATATATATATTGTTTCTTTTGGTGGATGATGACTAAATCTTACTGAAAAAAAAAAAAAATATATATATATATATATATATATCTTACACGCGGGTATTTTGACTAAAGGATAGAGGTAGACGACCAAAGCCTTGACTTGAGTAGAATGTCTTCCAATTCCTCAAAGGGGAGGTTGAGGGTTAAGGCCTAGTGGAAGCATGTGTTTGTATCAGAGGAGGTGATCTACATACCAAAATTAGATGATTTGATGAGTTGTAAGATAACTTATAATTAGGGATTTCATTTGACAATACGAAGAGAACAAAGAGATTTCTGGAGAAAACTTCTATCCCTTTCCCTTCGGGAGACTTTCTTTATATAATAATATTTACTATATAAGGAATGCTTACCACAATCATATCCCAAGATTTGGTATCCACAAATAATATTCCTAACTACAAACAATCTGTAAATCATCTAAATTGGAATGAAATCCCTAATTATAAGTTATCTTACAACTCATCAAATCATCTAATTTTGGTATGTAGATCACCTCCTCTGATAGTTTGAGTATACTTTAAAAAATAAAATAAAGAGTGTGGCATAGATATAAAACTTAGAAAAGGAAATTATCCATAGACGTACGAATATACACACACAGTAGAAGATGCTCTACTCAAACCCGGTACCGTGGCACTGCCAATGAAATTGTCATGGTGTTAATAGAAATAAAAAGGCTCACACCAGATGACTTTCTACTGAACGGGAACAGCAATGACATAACTATCAGGACATTAAGTGCTGATAGGAATACAACTCAGCTTCAGTATGGAATATTTTTACGTAACATCCCCCATGTTAATTGGCACCATATAGACTGCTTTTGAAAAGCAGTGCCTAAACTCTCATTTATTTTGGATCCTCGGTAAAAATCACATATCCACCAGGGATCAACTTGTGGAATGATGAGTTAATGTTTCTACAGAACAATTACTATTTACCAGCAAATTGAGAGCAGCAAACATCTCTTCTTTCCTTGTCCATTTGCATCAAGTGCCCAGAAGTATTTTCTGCAGCAATGTGGCCTGTTGATACTGTTTGGCATGAGGCATGAAATGGAATGGTCTTTTGACAATCTGAGGGCAGCCAATCCTATTCAAGCATAAGGAAACTAGCACTAACAACCACCGTTATTATATCTAGGGAGAGTGGAATCAAAGATTGCATCAATGTAAAAGGAAGGGTAAAGAAGGAGATATATAGGACCAATGGGCCAATAGCCCAATGGTATAACATCCCTACCCTCAAAGAGGATGGGAGGGGTTCGAGCCCCAGCGTGGGCAATGTGTGCGTGAGTACTTACCTGATCAAAAATAAAAGATATATGGGGAGAGGATTCAAAGATTGAATCAATGGAAAAGGAAGGATAAAGAGGGAGATATATGACAGCATTGGCAGCAATCATAGCTAGAACAGTTGAGGGATTTTGAACTTTCGTAATGAGTATGAATCTGGGGCTACCTCCGACTTGGACTATATTTCAAACAATTTAGCAGGGTCAAGTTAGCAAGACACTATTATCAGAACTCAGAAGGTTCCGAGACGAAGTAGAGAAAAGCAGATAATGGTTCAAGCCACAGTGGGGGATGTGTGTATGAGTATACTTGCCTACAGATAAAAATAATAATAAAAAAGACCATTTTTTTTGTTCTATTAATTTACTCCAATTATTTTCTTTTAATACCTTGGAAAAGAAAATTTTACTATTGTTGATACTTTCCACTGGGAACATACATACATACATACATATATACAAGCAAGAATTGGTCTTACCCAAAATTCTAGGATTTTAATAGGAATAACAAGAAAACTAAAGAAAATATGAAGGATAAAGGATCAAACTCTTCTTTTACATAGAAGCAGTTAACACTTTTTGTTAGCATTTATGATACCACGATTTATGGTATAACTTACCATAATAGCCGAGATATGATAGGCCCAAATCATGGGATGTGATTTACCATATTATCTGTGAGATATGATAGCCACTAATCATGTATTTGACTTTATTTACGCATATGTCTAGGCATAGAATATGCAATGATTTGATTTTGTTTCCTTTCTTGTAATATGAGCATGTGCTCATTTTATCTATAAATACTAGAGCTGTGAATGGGTAATTTATCTCATTCAAGCCTTTACGCAATTCTCTCTTTTCTCTTCTTTTTATATTTCGACTTGGTATCAGAGCCAACACCTTTCCACACCTTTCAGCAGCCTTGCTACTTGTGCGACAGCTACCTTAGGCTGTTTGTGACATCGTGTGACGTTGCCTACACATGTTTTTCTGTGTTGCTGTTTTGTGATCGAAAAAAGGTATTTTTAAGTTTTACAATTTCTTTTTCACTCTTCTAGGGTTGGGTAATTTGGGATAGTTGGTTTCCAACACCTAGAAGGGCTTGGGTAAAAAAAAAAAAATTAATTTACAAAGAGGTTCCGAATATTAAGGAGGCTGTCTGGCTATATGTAAGCGGGCAGCGCTCCTTAAAAAAGGTATGTATCTGGATTTTTTGGGAATGGTCTGAGGAGACATTGTTTATGGTCTGAGGAGACCCTTTGATTTATTAACAGAATTTGTGGTGTTTTTGGAGTTCTTTTTATTGTCGTGTGACAGATTATGGCAAATTCAGGGTCCTCCACTGTTAATTCTCTTGGCTCACGTTCTGTGGGTGGTGGTGCCATTTTTCCCACCAACTCATCAGAAAATCCAAGACTTCAAATCACCACAGTGAAGTTGGATGGTTCCAACTATTTGATTTGGGCACAGTCTGCCAAGATGTTCATTGGTGGCAAAGGCAAGATTGGCTATATTACTGGTTCTGAGAAAGAGCCAGCTGAGTCAGTGAAGGCATATCCACAGTGGTTCGCAGATAACGCTATGGTTATGTCTTGGCTAGTCAATTCGATGCAACCAAACATAGCTGTTGGCTATATATTTATGAAGACTGCTAAGCAGATTTGGGATTCAGTTCAACGCACTTATTCTCAGAGGCAGAATAATGCACGAATTTTCCAGCTGGGGCGAGATATCACCAGGATTTCTCAGGGTGACTTGACAGTTTCAGGTTACATCGCCAAGCTTCGTGCTATTTAGGAGGAGATGTCATATTATGATTCCTTCCACTCTTGGAAGGATCCAGATGATGCATTTGTATATGCAGGAATTGTGGAGAAGAATCGAGTGTTTCAGTTTCTTGCCGGGTTGAACGACGAGTTTGAGTATGCTCGTGTTCATTTATTGGGCTTATCTTCATTCCCTACTCTTGAGGATGCATATTCCTATGTGTTATCAGATGAGAGCCGCCGGACTCATCCATTAGGTGTTGCTTCTGTTGATCGTTCTGCTATGGCAGTTCGGATTCCCAACCTTTCAGGAACTTCACCATCCCAGTCAGTTCAGAGCACTACCATTGGTCCTCCTCTGGGACGACAACGTGGACGGTGTGACCATTGCGGAAAAATTGTTCACATCAAATCTCGTTGTTATGCTCTACATGGACGTCCACCGCAACAGAAACAACAGCCTCGATCCTCTACACATTCTGTTACACAACCAGTCTCGTTGTCAACTCCTGACAACCCTGCCTCTACATCTTCTGCCACAGTTACCTTGACTCAAGCTGATTTGGACAAGTTCAAGCAATTCTTCAACCAAATGGAGGCATCATCTCAGCCAACCTCCATTTATGCCCACTTAGGTACTATTGCGTCTACACATAGCGTATCTACATCTTCAACACCATGGATCATTGATTCTGGTGCTTCAGACAATATGACTGGTATGTCCTCACTCTTCCAATCTTATAGTATCTGCTCTGGCCAACGCAAGGCCCGCCTTGCGGATGGCTCTCCATCTTCCATTGTTGGGAAGGGTCACATATCAGTTACTCCTTCATTAACTTTGTCAAATACACTTCATGTTCCAAAGTTGACTACAAATCTTATTTCTGTTAGTAGCGTTACCAAACAATTAAATTGTAGTGTAACGTTCTTTCCCTCTCATTGTATTTTTCAGGATCTGGTGTTGAAACGGACGACTGGCAGTGGGCGTGAAGTGGACGGTTTATACCTGTTGGATGCTCCTTTGTCACCGCAAGCACATTCAGCTTCATTTTCTAATATTGTTTCATCTAATAAAGCCCAGCTTATGCGTTGGCACATGCGTTTAGGACATATTTCTTTTGGTTATTTGAAACATTTATTTCCTTCCTTATTTTATAACGTGGCAGTGTCAGATTTATCTTGTGAAACATGTCATATGGCTCAACATGTTCGTTCCAATTATCCTGCTAGTAGTAATAAATCTGTTTTAACACCTTTTGATCTTGTTCATTCAGATGTGTGGGGTCCTTGCCCAGTTACTTCTAGTCTTGGATTTCGATATTTCGTGTTGTTCATTGATGATCATAGTCGTGTTACTTGGGTTTATCTTATGAAAACCAAAAATGAGGTATACACCATTTTCAAAAATTTTATGACAATGGTTCAGACTCAATTTGGTCGTACCATTAAAAAATTCCGATCTGACCAGGGTACAGAGTACACTTATGGGGAGGTACAACGGTTATGTACAGAATTTGGGATTGCGCATCAGCTGGCTAATGTTAAAACTCCTCAACAGAAGGGTCGTTCTGAGAGAAAGAATCGCCACATCCTTGACTTAGCCAAAGCAATCTGTATTGGCATGAATGTTCCCCAGTCATTTTGGGGAGATGCAGTTCTTACCGCTGTTTACATCATTAATAGGACTCCTTCTAGGATTCTTAACTTTGCAGCCCTACTCTCAATCTTACATCCCAATTCATCTCTATTTTTGATTCCTCCACGAGTCTTCGGGTGTGTGTGCTTTGTTCAGCAGTTGGGGCAAACTCGTACAAAGCTTGACCCTAAGGCTTTGAAGTGTGTGTTTTTGGGCTATTCATACTCTCAAAAAGGTTATAAGTGTTACCATCCTCCCAATCATCGGCGGTTTATATCCATGGATGTTTCTTTCTTTGAGCATACACCATACTATAGTGGTTCAGTTGGTTCTCAGAGTGAATGGTTCCCATTGAATATAATGGATGATCACCTTCTTCCGTCTTCAACTCCTCTCCCATTACCTGTTTCTTCTTCTATAATTCCTCCTCGTGATACCCCTCCAGCAGGGGGAATTGTTCCTTTTTCACAGGTTTATAATCGGAGACAACAGGTGCAAGCTTCTACTCCCACGATCGACTACCCTGTTCCTTCGGCACCAGCTCCACCTTCTCAAGCTATTGTTTCGCTTGATGATCGCCCCATTGCTCTTCGAAAGGATAAACGTTCTTGTACTTTCTCTATTTCTAATTTTGTTTCTGATTATGCTCTCTCACCCTCCTATCGGAGTTTTCTTGTTTCTGTTGCCTTGGTTCCTGTTCCTTCCAGTGTTGCAGATGCGCTAGCACAACCTCAATGGCGTGATGCTATGACAGAAGAACTACAAGCACTTGAGAAAAATCAGACTTGGACATGGTTCCGCTTCCTATTGGACAAAAGGCGGTGGGTTGTAGTTGGGTGTTTACAGTCAAGCATAATCCAGATGGGTCAGTTGCTCGTTACAAGGCCCGATTGGTTGCCAAGGGTTATGCTCAGACTTATGGCATAGATTATCAAGAGACTTTTGCCCCTGTTGCCAAGATGAATACCATCCATGTATTATTTTCCGTTGCTGCAATTCGATCTTGGCCTCTATTTCAGTTAGATGTCAAGAATGTCTTTCTTAATGGTGATTTGCAGGAGGAGGTGTACATGGTTCCTCCTCCGGGCTTTCGTTCTCCTGCTCATTCTGGTATTTTTTGTCATCTTCGTCGTTCTCTATATGGCCTCAAGCAGTCTCCTCGAGCTTGGTCTGATCGCTTTGGCACTGCTATGCTCAAGTTTGGTTTCCATCAAAGTGCAGCTGATCATACCTTGTTTTTACGTCATTCAGGCGGTAAAACAGTTGCTCTCATTGTGTATGTCGATGATATTATTCTTACCGGCGATGATACTACTGGAATTAATGAGGTTAAGAGCTATCTTGGCCGTCAGTTTGAGATTAAATTTATGATACCACTTTTGCAGTTTGAAAGCCTGCCAATTATCAGCTTAATATGAAAATTTTATGGATTGATGTGAATCTAAGATTTGAAGGTCAAGGCCACTGCCGTCTTATCTATGATAGATGTGATGGACCCTTTTTATCGGATAGATGATAAGATAGATGTGCAGACACTATTTATCATGGCATCATTGTCCACCTCTGTCCAATACTTTTCATCGCTATTTATTCAAAAATGTCAAAAAGAGCAAGTCTGTTGCACCCATTTGTCATTAAATTGATTATATGTTCTTACTCCCATCATTTTCTTACAATTTACAGTCCTTCCAAGTATAGAAATGGAAAATAGGTGACATTAGTACACATTGATGCCCATCTTCTACCATCTAGATTTTATAGAATTTCTATAGCCACACCGAGTCCCAATTGGAATGTCCTAGCTCATAAATAATAGATGTAAACATCAATGTTGAATAAGTGACAACTTGGCAATCACATAACATTTCACTATTCAGTAATCATTGGAAAAATGGATCAGAGAGAGAGAGAGAGCACCGTGTGAGAGTGGATATGTTAGTTTTCTGTGCCTTTTGTAAGAGGAGAGATAATTGCTTGGCACATCCACATGGAGACCTGCATAGGTGAGAATAAATCAAATATCATCTAAATTCTTTTAAATTGACCATGGAACATCAAAGTATAGTGTGAGATAAAGAAGGCTCATCTAGGAAAGAGAATTGTTATAAGCTCAAAAAATTAACAAATTAAGAATAAGGAAGCAACCATTAACTGAAAAAAAAATAAAAATAAAAAAATCATCCTGTTTCTCAATATAATGTTATAATTAACTAATATAAGTCAAAACCAATGATGTAGGACGGGGGATTGTCAATTGTGTGACCAACAGGATGAATTCCTTGTAGCTCCAGGATTGTGTGATCAACACCCAAAAAACACTAACCATCTACATCGTGTGATGATGAATGAAAAAAACAAAATTCAAGCAATTAGAATGGTAGGATGCACTTAAGTTTGCCTTGCAATGTGAATGACGCTCAATTATGCTTGGTGTTGTTTTCTGGAAGTATAGGGTCTTTACTCTTTACATAAACCTTTGAGGTTTACCTAGAAAAACTAAAAATCAATGATACAGACATTATATATAATATATGGACATAATTACCTTTACAGCCTTTGTTAAATCTTGAAATTTCTGTTTAACCCTCAGTTTTAGTTTCTTAAGCCAACAGAGATTATAATATATAATATAGATGTAATATTATTAGTTTTGTCTTTTACAGAAAGCCAAAGCAACAGAAAAACTTGAGCTTTCTTTATTCGCCAATGAAGAAGGGGACACCCGCATCTTAGCAATTGGTGAGTTCAGTCGCTGAAGGAAATCTCCGAATACCGTAGATCCACCTCAAGTAAATTTCACTCACCCCTCTATTTTCTTTTTTTAATCACAAAGCCCAGTTTCTTATTCTCCACTTTTCTATTTCAAAAGATAAATCTACCAAAATCCACCCTCTTTTTTTTCTTGTGCCTCTTTTTCACAAAATGACATCCATATGTATCAAAAATAATATTGAACTCATATAAAAACATAAAAATATATATATATTTTTTTGCAGTGATTTCAAACTCTATTATGCATTCAGTCGCAAAAACACAAAAAGTTTGATTCATGAGATCAAGTGTGAGTAGGTAACCTTCTTGAATCCCATTGCGTGATTACCATATTAGTTGTTTCTTTTTTATTTTTAGATTTTACTTTATTTAATAAAAAGGTGAGAGGTATATTGACTTCACCTTTTCAAGCAGGGATCATCTCTCAAGTGTTATGATTGGATATACCCTTCACTTGTTGCCCGCATCGTGATCGATTTAGATTCTTCCTCTCTAGAGCCTCGACTGGTCAGTTTGACAACTGAACGGAAGGTGAGACCATAATAATCGTTATATATGTGGATGGCATAGTGGTAACAAGAGAAGACACTGAGGAAGTTTCTAGATTAAAAGTCCGCTTAGCTAGGAAATTATAAATTAAGTACTCGAAAAATGTATGCTACTTCCTTAGAATTGAAGATGTTAGATAAAAAAAAGGGCATCTTTATTTCTCAATGGACGTACATTTTATAGTCTGTCGAAAGAGACAAATATGTTAGGATGCAGACCAGTAGACTCACCTATTGAAGATAATCATGGCCTTAAAGTGGAAAAGGCAATCAAGTAGATAAGGTGGGGATATCAGGGATTGGTGGGTAAACTTATATATTTGCCCACACTCTTCAAAACATAACATATGCAGTAGGAGTTGCAAGTCAATTTATGCATGATCCTCCTAGCACTAATCTAAAAGGTGTCTACGCCTTTCGGGATATCTGAAGTCTGCTCCAAGCAAAGGCAATTAAACTGTTTGCCAAGTATGGTCATCTTAAACTAGAAGCCATCACCGATGTTGATTGGGCAGGTTTGATTGATGATAGATGATCTACTTCTAGTTATTGCACCTTCGTAGGAGGAAATTTAGACATACAGTGAAGAAAAAAGCAATAAAATTGTGGCCTAGATTCAGTGCGGAAGCTGAATATAGAGCCATGGCTCATAGTGTGTGAGCTTAATTGGCTCCAAACTTTGATGGAAGACTTGGGAATTATGTTATTTGTTTGCACTTTGTGAAGTCAGGGGAACAATTAGCTATTGTATTAGCTAAAGGACTTAGCAGCAAGTTGTCTCATCCCTTAGAATCCAAGATAGGTATGGGGGAAATCTGTGCACCAACTTGAAGGGTAGTGTTAGAATATTCAGGAAATGTTGGAGAGATTGATGTGGGACAAGAGAGCAACCTGAAATAGCTAAGAACTCAAAGAATTCAGAGTCTGAAAGTTCTAACAACTAGGGCTGAAATTTGGAGGTTTGATAGTAGAAATGTAGGAAATCAAGGAGAATAGAATAAGAGCTGCCTCTTGGCATCACACCAACACGGTCAGAGAAACAGATTATGGTTCAAGAGAGAGAAATGATTTGAAAATAAGAAAAAGCCTATTGGCATCACACCAACAGAAAACAATAACCTATTGGAATCACTCCAACAGGGCCTAGGCATCACACCTAGAGAAGCCTCACACCCTCAGAATTTGTGAATCACTCACAAAGAAATCTCAAAAGATATTTTTTTTTATTCATTCATTGACTACCTCACCAAGTTTACATCATACTCTTCTTATAGCAACTTATGACCCTGAGATTACCCCATGATTGAGGTAATCAAAAGTTGACTCTATGGCATAATAAAAGTAATCATCCCATAATTGGGGTAATCAATATTTGACTTTATGATTACCCCATAATTGAGGTAATCAATACTTACCTAATAGCATAATTAAAGTAACTAAAAGTTGACCAAATCTCCCAATTATTCAAAACTCCATGTGGACCCATATTATCTAGCCTATGCCAGCTCGAATCTTATAATCCTCCTTTTGGTGCCTTTTATACACCTTTACAGATTTCTGCCATTGATCTCCATTAGAGATACAAGTGGTTGCAGAGAAGATTATGGCCCAACGCTTCTTCATACTCTCTCTCTCTCTCTCTCTCTCTCTCTCCAACCCTAGTTTCATAAATATTGCATTCAACCTATCATCATTTCAGGTTTACAGATTTTTGACATAAAAATAAATAAATAAATAACAGTACTAATATGGAGAACTTTATAAATTGTTCTCCTCAAGGTGACAGTTAAAATTCTTCTATTCTTGTGTAGTTGTAGCCTATTAGTCCAATCCCCAGCTTATTTATCTTGACCTTAAACTATGAAGACCGTATTAGTAATAAAATATTGAGAATTGAAGGTTAAGAATACCAGAACTCACCCACCATAACAAGTTTCAAAATAGTAAACAATAGTCGAGAAATCAGTTACTAACATGAGTAGATGCACCTCTGCCAGAGTCCAAGCTGACTTCCACTGAAAAATGCTGCCGGCTTTCTAGACAAAACGTGAAGTGCTGTGTCCCCATTTCCATCCCGTGATATAGCTAAACCAGGGTAGCGTTGAATCATGTCCAAGGCTACATCTAGTAATCAAAAGAATATTGTCAATATTTCCAATAATTCCTTTTTAAAGATGTTTAGTTGCTGAGTGCAATATGATTATTTTAAGTTGGTAATGCGCAGATGTGGTAGCTATCATTTTCAAAAGACAAACCTACATAAGGAAAACAACATGTGCTGGATAAAGTGAGTCGTATATTTTAAGGCAAATAGTAACATGGATAATTTTGCTCAGCAACTAAAAATCTCTAAGACATGCATAATTGAAAGGTTTCTAACCAAATAAATTGGCGGTGATGGCAGCAATAAGCAGCCCAATGAGATCTTCGTCTGTTAGATCTTCTTTAGTTATAGAGTAAAGATACCAAACCATGTCTCTGTGGCCTAATAAAGCAGCAACATACAGTGGCAGTGCTCCTTTACTACCTCTAATCAGTGGCAACTTTTCATTCTTATTCACCATCACTTCAGCAATCCTTGTGACTCCAGATGCAGCAGCAAAACAAAGGGCTGTGTTTCCAACCTTGTTCTGCAATGCCAAGTCATCTGATGTCATCAAATTCACTAACTCCTCTACAAACCCTGTATGTCTTGCCCCAGCTGCAATATGAAGAGCAGTTTCTGAACCCCTTGTGATCCTAGCAGACACTGCTTGCGGATGTGACAGGAGAAAATCTTTAGCCTTTTGCCAATCACCTTTAAGGGCAGCGAGAAACAGGATAACATATGCTCTGAGGCCATTGGCTCTTACCTCTCCTGCAAATGTTTGAGCATCAAAACCCATGTTCACTCTCGGGCTCAAAATTGAATGTTAGGACTCTGGAACACAAGGCAGACACACCTAGCACTTGGCTCTGAAGGGCTTGAGTACCCAACATTATATGCATTCAGATTTGAATGTTTTCATTCTCCAGTAGTTTAGTAGTTAGTTCCTACCTATTACATAAATGATACTCTTGTTTTATATATTCGGGATTCCAACTTTTGAAGGGACATAAATGCATTATCCCCTTTGAAAATTTCCATGTTACCTTTGAAGGTTATATAATACATATAAATATATGTGTGTGTGTATATTGTCCAGTTTTAAAAAAAAAAAAATCAAAACTTGGATATTTTTGGAAAGAAGCAAATCATATCACTTTGACTTTTCACATGTGACAACTAAATTAGGATCCAAAAATGGAAAGAGGGACAATTAAATTGGGATGGAGGGAGCATATAACAAGAGTAGGCCAAAAAGGAAAATAAAAAACACAAGCAAAAAAGATTTAGTAAGCGTCTTGCAAAATCATTGAGTTCTACACCTTTAGAAATGAAATGGTAAATACTTTTTATGTATTCTTCTATTCATAAGTTAGATTCAAAATTATATTTAAACCAGATCAATTAACAAATCAGGTGATTATGTTTTAAATCCTCAACAAAGAACACAAAAAACTCTCTCATCGTATTGAAAAGGAAACAACTAGTTGAAAAAACGAGTGAATGATTAATTGAGTTAAGTTCAAGAAAGGATGCTAAGGCATAATAATCTATCAAAATTTCCCCTAAATTATACAGGTACCAAGTTTCCACTAGTGCAACATGTTTTGACTTATTCCACTCATGTCATTGACTCATCATTCCAATCTACATGCTTACACCTATTTCTCCATGCTTATGGTGTCTCCCAAACTTCATTAAGATAAGCTGATAAGACCACTAAGCTAAGTGACAAAATGTACCAACGGCCAGTGGCCTAGCGGTATCAGGCCTTTACTTTCTAAAGGGAGGTCAGAGGTTCAAGCCTCAGTGGTGGCATGTGTATGTGAGTACCAACTAAGAAAGAAAAAAAATAAAAATAAAAAATAAAATAAAATGTGACAAAATGTTGCCATCAAATTCTTTCATACTGTAATAACCCCAAATTTTCACATTTAAATAAAGCATTTTGATTTGTGTACACAAGTTACTACCATAGTCGCACACACTAAATAATGAAGAAAATGATAAAAATAATTTATGATTGTCAAAACCAAGAATTTGATATTTCAAACAAATTGTAAATACCTATCCAAAATAAATTAGGGATTTAAGCTTATCGTTTAACGAATATATATATAGTGATGTTGTGGCCTGAATTTGGTGAAGGGTCGCGTTGCGACTCACTTATGACCAAGCCCACCAAAGCTTTGGTGGTTCAGGGGCTTGGCCCCGAGGAAAATTTTTGACCCGTTTTTTACTCATGGGTCGTGGACCCTAATTAGTCTCTTGTAGCCCCATATATAAGGGCACTTAGGATTTGGAGTGGTATAAGAGAGAGACTCTAAAATTGGTACAAAAAATAGAATGAGGAGCTGAAAACTTGTAATTTCCGATTTTACACATAGTGAAAACTTTCGCCAAATCTCAATCGTAGACGTAGACTGTTGCCGAACTACGTATAAATCTTTGTGTTTTTTATGTGGTGTGTTTAATTTTTTGCCGTGATTCTTGATTTTATCTTGGGTCCGTTGCGTTTGTCATAACATATATATTCATATAAATAAATGCATACACACAAATAGAAGAAATACAAGATAGAAGGAAAAGAAGAGAAATATGTAAAGGCTTTAATAATATTGAAGAATGGGTTGTTTTCTGACATCTCTACACTATGTATTTATATTAGTCACAAATATAATTTACAATAATTATGTGGTCAAATCCCAGTAATTATGACAATAATTACGTGGTCAAATCTCACAAATTATGACAATAATTACGTGGTCAAATCCCACTAATTATGCCCTCAAATCCCACGATTCTAGGCTAACATATCCCTGCTAACATTCCCCCTCGAGTTGGTGCGTGGATATTTGAAACGCCCAACTTGGACAATACATCCTCAAACATGGTCTTACTAACACCATTCGTCAGAATGTCTGAGGAGTGCAAAATTTGACCGGAGATGATTCTCTCTCGAATGAAGTGCCAATCAACCAATCAATGTGTCTCCTCAAACCATAAACAATCAACAATGTCTCCACCATAAATAACCAATAATGTCTGCTCAAACCATAAATAACCAACAATGTCTCCTCAGACCATTTCCCTCCATACACGTGTTTAAAATATGTACATGGAAGAATCAACAATGTCTCCCCACACCATTCTCCTTCATACACATGTTTAATATATATATATAAAAGAATTAACAATGTCTCCTCAAACCATTTCCCTTCATACACATGTTTAAAAATATGTAAATGGAAGAATGACCAATGTCTCCTCAGACCACAAACCATCAACAATGTCTCTTCAGACCACAAATCACCAACAATATCTCCTCAGATTATTCCCGAATGGGTGGTGCCGAACTCGTAACGCCCTCGTTACAGTCGAACCACCCTGGCTCTGATACCAAAAAGAAATATAAGATAGAAGGAAAAGAAGAGAAATATGTAAAGGCTTGAATAATATTGAAGAAGGGGTTGTTTTTCAAACACTCTACACCAATTTATTTATATTAGTCAGAAATATAATTTACAATAATTATGCTCACTAACTATGACAATAATTACGTGGTCAAATCTCACTAATTACGCCCTCAAATCCCACGATTCTAGGCTAACATGTATCGGCTAACACAAACACATATATCTGTATTTGGTTGTTGGAAACTCTTTAAAGCAAAAAAAAAAAAAAAAAAAAAAGAAAATTGTATTTTTAAAGAGGGCAGAAACTTCTGTTCAGAGAGAAGGGAAGAAGAAGAATAAAGAGGAGACTAAAACAACTAAGATTCTACAATAGTTAAGGTAAGTAGATATATTTATTCTTAATCTAGAGTAAAATTTCGTGCAAAAGACAGTTTCCTATTCCGTTTTGGAAGCCCGTAGACTTGTGGAGCAAGGATAAAGATTTGGAAGGAAGTTGTGGCATATTAAGTTGTTATTTTAGAGTTGTAATGGATATGGTAAATCCTTGGTAGGCAAGCGGTGGAATTCTTGTCCAACTTGGACTTGGGTTTGAAGACTCTAAAAAGGTGGAGCTGGCTGAAGAGTTAGAGAGACGGGAAAGATGTAAGGGGTTTAACGATGAGTATTGTAAGGAGAAGGGAGAGTATATGTAATTTCTGAGTGTAAAGATGTAGCCTAAAGAGTGTGATGAATGAGAGTAAGTGGGGTTTTAACATCTAGTTGTATATTCTCTTCCTTGATTCATAATAGTGGAAATCTCTCTCTCCATGGACATAGCCCTAGAGTTGGGTGAACCATGTAAAATATTGTGTTGTGTGTGGATGTGTAAGTTATCTCCATATATGCTTGTGTTAATGTGATGTGATGATGCTTCCGTTATGTGTGATGAACGAGGAATTTAATTCTCAACAACAGTCGACTGTTGAGTGGGTTGGAGGGAGTTAATATCTCTAACAATTGGTATCAAAGCCGATGGTGGGTCAGAGCTTGTGGTTGGTCTTGAAGATTATAGCGGAAGGTTGGTATGAGGTTTGTCAGAGCAGAAGGTTGATCATGAGGTGCTACGGAGATTCAATCAGAGTTGATGATGACACGAAGATGGTGAAGATAAGGAAGAAGGTGATAGTGTGAAGTCCATGAGGAATAAGTCTTGGGGACAAGCCAAAGAGTGGGTGCTAGTTCTCAAGATGGGGCAAGTATGGTGTGAAGGTTTTGCTGCTTTAAACCAAAAAAGTAGTGAATTAAAGTAGTTTTGGTGGGTTGCCATGCGTGAGCAATTATGCACCAATGGGATGGAAGGAAGGACGGGAGGAGTTTTTTGTTCAAGGTGGAGAGATCTTCAATCAAGGTGAAGCTATGGAGGAGCATATGAAGACGGAATTTGAGTCAAGGTGGAGATTATTGGATTTCTGGATCAAATTCTTGAAGATTGTTGTTGTGAAGAAGTCGGGCTGGTCACACTTTCTCAGGTGAGAGTTCTGAGAAGTGCGACTAGTCGCACTATTTCAGACCAGTCACACTTTCCTAACATGTGCAAAAGACAGTTTCCTATTCCGTTTTGAAAGTCCGAAGACTTGTGGAGCAAGGCTGGAGATTTGGAAGGAAGTTGTGGCATATTAGGCTATTATTTTAGAGTTCTGATAGATATGGTAACTCCTTGGTAGGTAAGTGGTAGGATTTGGGTTTGAAAACTCTATAAATAAAGGTGGAGTTGGCTAAAGAGTTGAGAGGGAAAAAGATGAAAGGGGTTTAAGGGTGAGTGTTGTAACGAGAGGGGTTCCCGAGCGTAAAGATGTAGCCTCAAGAATGCGATGAGTGAAAGTGAGTGGGGTTTTAAGATCTAGTTGTATATTCTCTTCATTGGTTCATAATAGTATAAATCTCTCTCTCTCCATTGACGTAGGCCTAGAGTTGGGTGAACCATGTAAAATATTGTGTTGTGCATGGATGTGTATGATTGTTATCTCCATATATGCATGTGTGATGATGATGGTTTCGCTATTTATGATGAAGGAGGATTTAATTCTCAACAGCCGACCGTTTAGTGGGTTGGAGGGAGTTAATATCCCTAACAGCAGGGGCGGAGCCGGGGGGGAAGGGGCCATGGCCCCCCAATTTTTTTTGAAAAACCTTGTTTAGGGTACATCTAAATAATATTTCATGGTTCAAACTTGTGGCAAACCACTCTTGTACTGTTGGTGTCTAGATGAAAATATATATTCCTATATAGCACATATATATGTCATTTGAGTGGAGAAAAGAGTTTACAGAAATGATGGAGCTTTTTGGAAAAGGTGACAGAAAATTGAAAAACCGGTGGTAGCATGAATTTTAGTACCTGACTTGTCTTAGTTTCATTTTCTTTTTTGTTATCTGCTATTATTACTGTAGTTGAATTTTTGGTACTAGCTCACAAAATATAATACTAATACTTGAGTCCATTGTCAGTGACCTTGAAAGTTGCAAGAGTCTGGACTGAAAGATTATAGTTTGTAATTATCATGTTACTAAAGAAATTTATTGATAACTTACCAGTAGCTAGCATTTTAACACAATCTAATAATGGAAGTAGCTATAGAAGTATTGATGTCTTGTCTTGGATAACTCTATTGGCAGTTTATTGTATGTACGAGAAATTGCATGTACGTTTTGTTGAATTGATAAAAGATAGATATAGTTGTACAAATACGGTATATTCCATGCAGATGACAGCTTTAGGGTCGATATGGGTGATTATATGGTTTGTCTGAAACAATTTGATACTGAATTGTCCTACCAGCACATATCCTGCCAGTGTAAGCTTCAGGGGAATACAGATACTCTGCGGATATGGTATGGGGGCTATTGAAATGACAGCTATAGATTGAGAATACTATTCTAGTACTAACTCACCAGTGATGGTATCAGGTTGGTTTTGGCAGCAGGAGTGGGTTAATTTATGAAATAACATCTTTATATTCCACCAGTGTAAGCTCCAGGACGTGATCGAGTGCTATATGAATTGTTGGATTTGAGATTCAGTGAAGTGCCAAGCATCGTGATTCTTTACATAAATGTTATGTTATTACTTAGAATTATACATAAATCTTCCATGCTGCCTGGATCATTTGTGTGATTCCTTATATATTTCTTTGGAAACTGTCTACTCACTAATTTATTACACTTACTGTGAATTTAGAGTAAATGGGTAAGTTGGTGAATTGTAATTATAATAATTAAGTTTATTAGACGGTGAATTAACAATAAAAAGGAATAGTAATTGTTAGGATCATGAGTCAAGTGTAAGAAATTTAGAATATTCCTAAACAAAACCTGTGTTGTAATGTGTCAGTGTCTTGAGTCACTTATGGAATATCGATTGAAGGCATGGTAGACACTAAATTGCAAAGATTACGACAGAATGTTGGCATCCTGCCATCCTCAATCACACATTTAGGTAACAGGGAAATTGACTTTAGAAAGACCTTAGTTTGACTTATTCTGATCTTGGTTGGGCTAATAAAAATGTTTTGAACTGTTTTTGAACATTGGCTTTTCAAAACTTAAGTTTCAAATGTTTTCGAAATTGGACATCAAGTTTGAAAAGAGTATGCTTCAATTGATTGGTCGATTGATTGAATCTTATCAAGAGAGCATAGATCGATTGGTCGATTGATCGAATGTGTTCCAGGTAAAATTCTTTTCAATACCGGAAAGCATCAATCAATCAAAATAGTTCGCTCGATCGATGCAACCTGTCTGACCTATGTTTTTGAAACTCTCTCAAATACAATTTTATAAGGTATCAATTACCTAAAATGTATGGGACTCCTATATTGGGTATAAATATGGGGTTATGGCCAATCCATGTGAGGTGATAAGCATCTCTAAACATTCTTTAGGAGTGAGAGTCCCAGAGAGAGACTTTGGTTATTCAATCTCTGTTTTCAAAAAGACCATCTATGTGTGATTAAGTACTCTTCAAGGTGCAGATTATCAGTCTAATCCTATTCAACAAAGCAAAATCTGAGCAGACAAAAGTGAGCAACCACTAGAGAAGCAAGTTCATTAGGAGCAAATGTACACAAGCAGACAGACGACCTGGAGACTTTCAGAAGGAAATATGTATCCTATTGATGCTAATTTTCCTTCTTAGTTTCCTAAATACTACCAATATATTCATGTAATCTACTTCAACCAAAACCACAAGCAATAGTTTAAGATCAACTGCATGAATTTAACATATCACCCTTGACACCTCGCAGATGACAATTTGGTGCCAAACATGGACCTAATGTTTATGATGCTCAAGTCTATAAAGTGCTATCTGTCAGAAAATGAAAAACACTATTCCTATAACGATCTTGAAAACAGTACAATAATTAAAAAAATGCATGACAACAATGGTGGCACACGAGACAATAAAATCACAATACATAACATTACATTCATGAGTGTCTGTGTATCTCTCTCAATACATATGCACAAATAGATATGTATTTCTGAGTCTACCTGTGTGTATGTATATTATAGATATAGCTACATGTACGAGCGTGTGTGATCAAAGTCAATCTTCCATGTGCTGTCATATGACTCATATCATCACAACATTAAATTAGGTTATCATGTTTCTTTTTCCATGCAGTTTTATTTGACCCCAGTGGCACATAAAACCATGTTAAAGTAATTTTTTCTAATATTAGTTTTGTAAAAAGGAAATTCATTATGTTATCCAGAAGCCCAAATAATCACTTAAGGAAGAACTTACCAGAAATTGCACCTGAAAAAGCAACTGTTGCTAGTGGAAAACTTGCACTTTGACTCATTAAGGGATAACCAGGACTATCTAGCCTCCTCGACGAACTAGGAATGCTTTGAGCATCGCTTCCTGTCATTTCCACAATAGTGGTCAAGTTCATGACATTTTGAAGCTGTTGAGGAGAGTTCTGAAAGTCAGAGATTGATGGACATGGGATGCTTATTTCTGGTGGTACTGCAGATGCAATGGGGTATTTAACACTATAAGAAGCTGGTGAAATCCCATTGTCAAATTTGTCAAGGCAGGTACTATCTTCATGATATATGTCCTCATGAGAGTGTTCCATGTTTATGCTTATATCGTTGTCCTCAGGAGACTTGCAACCGGAAGTCTCTGCGGAACTCCTTGCTGGGAAGCATGATTCAATAGAGGGACTCCTTTCAACCCGTGGTTTAGCAGACTTTTTTGATAACAGACTCATACTTCAACAGTAAGAAGACAGGAAAAAAAAAAAAAAAAAAAAAATTAAGAAGTTTTCAAATATAGATAGAGCATTTGACATAGAAATAAGTGATGGTCACCAATATTTACTTCTTTTTTTTTTTTTTTTTTTTTTTGGTCATTGGCAAGAAACTCACACACACCCACTTTGCTCCTTTGGAGAATCAAACCCTCACCATCCACTTTGGGAGGTAGAGGAGATACCACTGGACCACAAGGCCCTTGGTCACCAATATTTACTTTCAACAGTTACATTGTAAGCCTAAATTTCAGATATGGAACCAGCAAACGAATCAAGTAAATGCATAATTTTTGCATGCCTGCTTATTGTGCTCAACATATTTTGATTTGCAGGCATGACAGGTGGGATTATTTAGCCACATTAAAAAGAAAGAGCATGTGAAGGGAACAACCTGTTCTAGGTGCTTGGTCAGTGTTCACACACCCTCTCCACAAGTGGATGCGCCATAACCTACACTAGTTACTAGTTACCACACAAAATCAAGGTTCTTCGCTCCTTTCCCAAAATTACTCAATGATTGCAAACTAATTGCTATTAGAAAATGCATTTTCCTAAATTCTTTGAGTTGACATAAACGAGGGCATCAACGCTAAAAAATTTGGAACGTCTGTTTTAGCTTTTGAGAATGTCGGTGCACAAAGTGATTTTAGCAGGAAATTTTCCCATCACCAATAAAGTCGCAGATATAGAAAGTACAAAATCTTTCCAGAAAACAACAAAAGGGAAAAAAATTAGAGCCCATAAAAATTAAGTAGATTATTTCAGCAAAACAATTTATATGTCCTCTTCCATATGATTTTCTTTGATATTTGGTTATTGAGTCATGTTTTAGCAAATTCCAACTCAACTTTGGTTATATAGTCGTCATTCATCAACAGCACAACCTCCACCTAATTTGATAAATCATTTTCTCTCTCATCATCTCAATGAGAGAATAATCAAAGAGCCAAACACTACTAGCTCTTTCAGATCTGAGTAACAGTCTTCTTCTTCAAACTTCAGCGGCGATGAAATGGCACCATTCTTTGGCTTCCTAGAAGCCGCTGCTGCCCTAGTTTTCTCTTGTAAATTCCTATCCACTTCCCTTCTAGATCTCTCTCACTTGTAGCATTCGATTTTCCTTTTACTCCAGAACAAGAAGCACAAGCACTTCACGTTTTGTCATGCTATACAAAATGTGAAGTGCTGGAATAGTGAGGTTAAAGGATTTTTATTTCTTTATTTATTTATTTTTTTGTTAGAAAAAATTTGAGAGGGACATTTTACCTTGACAAAGAAAACATGAACATAAAAAACTTAAAATTGCAAAAAATTGAGTGGAGCCAGCTGCCCCCACTGGGCCCTATGTGGCTCCATCACTAGCCCTTGGTTTCCTTGGCTTTGCATGGTGCCCGAGTAAGACATAATATGATGCAAGTGCCTCAACCTCAACTTGGATAGAACAAAAAAGATGCAGTTTACAGTTTGAGGCCTAGCATAGATCTTTTTGAAAACATAGAAGTTTTTAAGAGAATGGTTATCCGTGCCCAAAATTATCAAAAGTAGATTATGGCTATGCCCAGTATCGGGATTCTAGAGAATTTGAATTTTGACCACAATTATGTTTAGTAATCGTATAATTCTTGAAATGTAGATTTATAGGGTACCAAATGTGCATCACAGAATTTTGATAGTGAAAACTGAAATAATAGTTTTGTCTGTGGAAGAAGTCATTAGCAAGAAAAACCACATAAAATTTTATATTTTATTTATACATTTATTCATGCGGCTTAAGTCTTAACTCAATGCTGTGTATCATATTTATAAATTATGTTAATAGAATTTAATGCGGGGGGTGGTGGTGGAACCAAACAAACAAACAAACCTATAGTATGCAGCTGCTCGAAAATATCTAAAGTAAAACATTACAAAGATAAGGAGAAGCTTAATGTGGTACTGAGATACACCCTTCTTACTATTAAAGATAAAAAAAATTCCAGGGGTGAGAGCAAGCAACAAGCTCCAATCTTCCAAAATGTGAGTTAATTGAGTGCAACATGATTTTATTCTTATCTTGCAATCCAAACTTCAGTAAAATCATTATCAAAGCCGGATTTGAACAATAATAGGCACATTATAATTGAAAAGGTAAAGAATTTAAAAGTTATTACTTATTAAATTCACTCATGCTCTTTTTGGTTGCTGGGAAATTGAGGGAAAGTTGACATTGGACCAACAACTCAACCAAGTCAAATTTTTCTCTGTTTTTTTTTTTTTAAGAGGTGAAGTATTGAGGCCAAATTGCACTAAACCCCCCTGTAGTATCCAAAAATTGCAAAATATCCCTTCTACTATTTACCAAAAACCCTCAGTTTACCAAAAAGTTGCAAATTACACCCCTCGGGCAGCTGGAAGTTGAAATTCTGGTGTCAAAGTGATCATGTGTGTTGCACGTGACACATAATCTGATTGTTTTGATGAAAGTACCCTTATTTGTATAACAAACACCCCCAACTTGTCATATATAAAATCAATTGTAAAAGGTTAAAAGAGCCTCCGTCTAGGAAGCACGGATACTTCTAGGAGAGCAACGTACCCGTATCGGGTACGTGTCGGATACCGATACTCCACAAATACTCGCGGATGCATGTCCGATACTTGTTAAACATATCCATAACTTTAAAATATATTTTTAAATATTTAATAGTATCCGATACTTCTTAGGTATTTCGACTGCATATCCAACACTTCTCACAGACTTCATAACACATTTTTAACAAGTTTGAACATTAAAATGCAACTTTTCTAACAATAATAACATAGTATAATTGTTAAGAAAAGTTCTAATTTTACTAATTGATGACCAGGATGCTTGTTTTATGTGTTGTGAAACGATCGTTTATGTATTATTAATGATTGCATTTAGATTCATAATTTTTTAAAAAAATTGACCAAAAATTAATATTTATAAAAAAATAAAATTTATACCGTATCCCGTATCCGCATATGTGCTTCCTAAGCCTCCGTAAAGGCATTTTTGTCAAAATAATAAGTTCATGTGTCACCCGCGCTGCATGTGAACAATTTAACACCAGAATTCCAACTTCCGGCTGTCATATGGGTAATTTGAAACTTTTGGTAAATGGAGGTGTTTGCTGCAAAATGAAATAATAGAGGGTATTTTGAAACTTTTTGATTGTTTAGGGGTTTAGTGAAATTTGGCCTAAGAATTGAACTAAACATCAGTAAAGATTTCAATTTCCCATCCTTTTTATTTCCTATATAAAGTTTCTAGGCAACCAAACAGAGGTTTGAGTTTCATTCCCTTCAACAACAACAACAAAAACAACAAAGAAATCCGCTAGAAAATTTAGGAATTTCATGAAATACCTGGTGCAAGACATTGCGAATATAATGTGGGTTGGCGGCTCTCGGTCGGAGGAACTGCGAAACAGAGACAAACAAAGGCAATGAGGAGATAGTTTCAGAACTTGAAAGAGAGAATGAAATAATATATGCGTGTGTGTGTGTGTGGATTTTAGTACATTGAGGGAATTGCAGAGGAACTTCGTGAGAGGGAGAAAGTGAGTCTTTGGTGGACATTGAGGGCAAGAAAATTCTGAGACGCCCTCCGCGTCATGCTTGCTTGGACTCGTTAGAGCTTCAACCATTTTTCCAACAGGAAAGATAGCGACGTCGGTGACTCTATCAGAGGATGCGAGAGAGTGTGAGTTTGTGAATGTGAGAGAGGGGACCGGTTGTGTTTGAAACCTTCGCAGTACTCCGAGTCTCCGCCATTGTATTTATTTTATTTTTATTACTATTGTTTTTAATGTATTTATTTATTTTTTTATAAAAGCAAATATTTATTCATGAAGTGCCTGTTACTAGCAATCTATTATTATTTCTTATTATCAAATAAAATGATATTATTAAAGAAAATAAACAAAATAGCCAATCTTTGTTCATCGCGTCATATGAGTAATTAAGTACAATTAATCTGTTTAATACAAGTTAGTAATTAATTGTCTTAAGTGCAAAAAGATAGTCTATAGAAATATATATATAATCCCAACTCAATTGACTCATTGCAAGGGGCAATCACGAATGAAGTGGAGGGTAGTTTCTCCATCAAAGCCACGAACTTTACATATATATATTTATATGTAAAGAAAATATATAAAGTTTATATATATATTTATTATGAAAATGTAAAGTTCTTGGCTTTGATGGAGAAACTACCCTCCACTTCATTCGTGATTGCCCCTTGCAATGAGTCAATTGAGTTGGGATTTCAACTATATTGTGAGTCTCTCTTTTTGGCAAAGACTTTTCGCTCAGAGGTGTCTATGCTCTCATTGCTTGGCAAGTATCCAAAAGCATGAATGGTGTGTGTTTAACGGGTTCACCCCAAGACAACATTTCAATCACAGCACAATATTTTGGGGAAAATTTCTTTTTAGGTCCAAAGACAAATGGGTTCTACAAATTTTTTAAAAAGACAAAAAAGTCCTATTTTGTAAAATATTTCCAGGTAAGTTCAGATTCTTTTTAGGGAAAATTACATATAAATGGAGTCAAAGTTCTATATTTACTTAGAGACTGAGTCAAAGTTCCATATTTCTCTAAAATGGATTGCTGAGGTGGCACATGGTTTTTTACTGTTTAGAAAATTGTGGTGCCTAAAATGCCCTTCCCTAACAAAAAAGTAGTACCTTCAGTGCAAAAAAGTAGTACCTTCGGTTCAAAAAAGTAGTACCTTCGGAGAAAAGGTAGTACCTTCGCGGATGTTTAAAAAACATGGTACCTGGACGCCAAAAAGTAGTACCTTCGGTTCAAAAAAGTAGCACCTTCGAAGAAAAAGTAGTACCTTCGCGGAAGAGTATTTTAGGCACCACAATTTCTAAATAATAAAAAACCATGTGCCACCTCAGCAATCTATTTTAGAGAAATATGGAACTTTGACTCAGCCTCTAAGTAAATATGAAACTTTGACTCCATTTATATGTAATTTTCCCTTCTTTTTATTTCATTATTGCCCTTCCAACCCAAACCCACCGCGCTTTGAAAGGAGTTAGAAAACTGAGAAATCTAGCCTCATTCCCTTCTGCTTTCTCATCATAATTTGGGAAAATAATTCACTGAAATAGGCAAGTCCCCTAGTCAATCAAAATTCATGGTGATTGGCAAGGTGTTGTGCGTAGTCTAATATGTAGTACTGCTGCCTGAATTGATTGAACAGAACTCTCTAAAACTGACAAATATCAGTAGCTTTTCCTTTCCTTTCGACTTACCGGACCTATCCAAAGCGGCTGTCTGAAGAAGATCATCTCAGCAAGTTCTCTTAGCTAGAATAATGCGCGCCGGTTGGAGACCTGGTTCGAGATGCATCATATCTTTTTTAATCCACGCTGCTCTGTAATCCTAGGTGTTACCCAACAAGGGAATCAAACCCAATTACTGACCTGATGTCACGGCACTTCCTCCCCCTATCGGCTTTAGTAGCAGCCCTTCGTACCGGACTAGCTAAATCTTTCAAACACTACACTGGCAATCTCAGCCGCCAGCAATGGCCCGACTGCTTCAGGTGGCAGCTCAGCTTCAAAAATGCCTGTGTCTGACTCCGGGAGGGCCTCAATAAGGACGTCGGCGCCCTTTCTGGGTCGAGGGCCTCACCGGTAAATCCTTTTGCCACCGTCGTCTCTCCTCGCCGGAATGGTTTCAGACGTCGTGGGTTTGGCGTTGGAAGGGCAATAATGGAACAAAATTTACAATTTGCAGAATCTGAACTTATTTGGAAATGTTTTACAAAATAGGACTTCTTTGTCTTTTTAAAAATTTTATAGAACTTATTTGTCTTTCGGCTAAAAAGTAGGGCTTAATAGTAATTTTCCCTGAATAATAATATTTTTGTGCACATTTTCTCTTCTTCTCACGTCGCTCACGAATTTGAGACATATCTTAACACTTACCTAGGTAGGAGCCCTTTTGTAATGACCATGTTCTGGTTTGACAGCTCCTAGAGCAAATTCAAATCGTTAATTTGATGCAGATTTTGATATTAGGAGAAGTTAAGGAATCATCTTGGTATGCCTGTTAGGGTGTGTTTGGCTCTTAATTTATTTTGGATGTATTAGAGTTTTTCGACTCAAAGTGTTGTATTCTTAATGTTGACCGAATCAATAAATCAGTCTTTTATGAATCATATGACTATTAGAATGCAATAACAACTCCCTTCCTCAATGCCTCAATGAAGGAGTTGTTAAATAAGGATTTGAAACAAATGAAGCAGATAATCGGAACTGTCAAAAACATCCATTCAGTTCACAAAAACTTATAAAATAACAATGGAGGAGACACTGAAATCTTCCACTTTATTTCATAAGTATATTTCTATTACAATTGGTGTAAGTACAAGAATTTGATTCTAACACTAACACTACTTCTATGCAAAAGGTATAATTAAAAGGGAAGACTATTAATAAATTCTGGTGTTGGTGGTGGGCCCTTAAAGTGGGTTTCTTGAGCGATATTTATATACTTCTTGGTTAGTTGGTAGTAATTTCATCTAGAGTTGCAACTTTCTTATGTTTTAAATTCAAAATCTCACAATTTGAATTTAAACGTAATAAAAATAATACTTAGATCTTCATTAAAGATGATTTACACCATTACTGCTAATATGGACCAATAATAAATGAATATTTCATCTTTAATTACTAAATTCAATACAGTGGGATAGATATCCACCTACCAAATCAAAAATGGTGATTTGATTACCATTTATGATTTGATAATTAAAATATAATGTGTCCATTTTTTAGTGGTCCACATCCCTAAATATTGTTCAATTAATTATACTTGACCAAATTTATCCTCTCGTATCCAAATATAATCCAAATTATACTCTTGAATATGAATCTTAAATAAATAATATTCAACTGTAAGTCAATGTTAAACAACTCTTTCCTATTATTTGTTTACAACTCTTTTCTAACTCACCTATAAATAAAGATTGGTATTTGTAAACACGATTAAGATATTTCATAATACGTAATAAAAAGTGATGTAACACTTTCGACTTTGTGTGTCGTGGATGTAAGCAACCACGCTATATTTGCATGTTGTCCCTCTCTTCAATTTTTTTTTATATATTTTAACATGGTATCAGGGCAGGTTTATTGTACCCTACTCTAGATCATTCTTCCGCACAATTAATCTTAATTAATTTTCTCTCCATTACCATTATCAAATTGTTAGGCAAAAACTGTTAATTTTTTGCCATCATTTTACACATCGCATCATTTCGTGCACTTCTTCTACACTAAATATCATCATATATTTTCATCTTGTTATCGCTGTAGAGTTATTTTTTATATGCTTAAATGCATATTGTTGGTTATATGCTGAATTTCTGATGAAGTGCTCATAATCATGTTATTCACTGTTGCAGAACCTATGTTCATTTACGTATATCTCACTGAACGTTATTTTCATACATGTTTTAAGGGGAGTGTTAAAGTTATTATACTTGAGTAACAAATTTTATATATTTTAACAGTAAATACCTGCACGGTGCTATAACATCAGACAATCCTTATTCTTTAATGTAAGTGGTTGGTTCTCGAGAAAATAATGGAGGCATTGGTGCTAAGAGAGGGCTTGAAGCTCTTGACCAGCTGTGAGTATTTATTTATTTATTTATTTATTCATTGGTAAAGGCAAGAAGCCTACGGCATCGACATGAGACACGACCACAAATACAGCCAAAACAAACCAGTGCCAAGCCGAAGCACCCCAACAAAAACAACAAAACCGACAACCACAAACATACAAACAGTAGATTTTAATGGAGACCTAGTCCCCAGAGAAACAACAACTAACAGCCCAACAAGAAAAGGATGGGCTACCCGTGGAAGAAACAGCCCAGCAAGACGAGCATGGGCTGCCCGTGGAATAACCCTGTCCGCAACATGAAAACCCCGTTCATTAAATACATGAGTCAGCAAGAAGGCATGGGGCCCAATAGAGACAAACCCATTCTGCATCCACAACCACAGAAGGTAAAAAACATAGTCCACAATGGAAGCTTCTTAGCGTGACGGCAACGTCACAAGCACCAAACCCTAGGGTGGACTCTGACCTCGTCTGACGCAAAACAGTACAACCCAACACTGGAGGTCGTCGATTGTGAAAAGTCATCGGAGGCGGAAACAGCCAAGAATCCTACGCAACAAGCCCGAATCCACGAGAGGAAGAAAAACAACCCCACCCAACCTAACCCCATAGGCCAGGACCACCACCAGTGGAACCACCGTGCTGACCACGGATGGAGCGTCGGAAGTCCGAGACAACAACGCTACTAGAGAAAAACCCACACAACACAAATAGAAAGTTAGAACGAAAACAGAAAGATAAAAAAACCATCACTATACCTGGATCAGAGGGAAAATCGATTTAACATGGCCGTTCTGTTGGCCGGTCAACCCACGCGAACCAATACCCCGCCGGCAACAGCAAACCATCCTGGCCAACCATCCACAGAGAAAACAGACCGGAGAGAATAGGGAAAACACCCCAAAACACAACAAGGAAACACAAACTCTGAGAAGCTGCTACAGGGAGAGGAGGCATAACCATCAAAAAGACGCTCCTAGACTGGATCCTCTCGGCTGTGAGTTACTTGGTGAACAAGTATAATTTGCTTGTTTAATTGTTTTTAGATTAATTTTTACTTTAACAAATTGAAGTGCAATAAATCAATCACACGCGAGTAATAAATATACACAAAAAACAAAAGAAGCAATTATTGACATTGATAGAGTTACAAATGAATCAATGTTGGTTCGTATTCATTTGTTTAATAAATGAACAGAGCTTATACAAAAATTTTGATACACATACATTAATATATATCCTAAAGTGAGAACTCATTTAATATATATACACACCTTCGTCTCTCTCACACACTTCTTTTCTCCTTTGATATCATGCTACTAGGGAGGAGCCAAATATGCCCACCCCCTAGAGGGGCACATCCGCCCATTATATCATAAATGGTTATTTATTTTATTTTTTTATAATTTCTTTACATATATATGAAAAATGGTATATAATCCCCCTCTAAACTATTTAAGTTTCTAAATTTCTCTTTAATTTTTTCTTATTTTTTCTCTCTTTAAATTTCTTTAATTTCCTTAAAAAGGTAAAATTTCCAAGCTTGGCTCGAAATTGAAGTGATGATATCCTCCATTTTGAATGTGTAGATATCTGTCTGTAAATTACTATACACACACACACACAAGAGGTTTGATAGCCGAACTCAAATAGGCCTCGACGAAGCTGTTCACAGCTCTAGACACTATACTTTTTACCTGAAAAAATCGCAGGAAGAAAAACCGTGAAGAGTTTTTTTACTGAAACCAGTAAAATGAGTATTCAATGCCTTCGGAATAACCTGTCATTACTTTACCTAGGACGCTCCGCCCGTCCGACTACAGTGCCTTTGGAATCAAATTCAGAAAAATAAATATAAAAATATATTTCGATTAATCACGTTTTGACGCAAACAAAAAAAATAAAAATAAATTGTTAACACAAAAACTAATTTCGTGAGATAAATGAAAAAGTAAGGGTGCATTTGGATAGATAGGGGAGAAAATAAAAGAATAGATATTATTAGTTATAAGAAAGAAAAAAAAAAGAAGGATAGTAATAATTTTTATTTGTGTTTGGATAGATAGGGGAGAAAAGAAAAGAAATGATAGTGGACAAATTATTTTTTTATCCTTTCATAACCGCTTCACATATTATTCTTGAGAAACCCGAACTTAATTCAAATTAGTGAGTAATTTTCTTTTATTTCCTTTTTTTTCTATTCATATTTTCAACAAATTTGTTCTTTAGATCGGTTTTCTTTGGATGGCTTATTTAGAAACCATTTACTGGATTTGCTAATTTGTTTTTTTGGGAACATGTTTGTTGCAGTTTTTTTTCTTGGCTTGCCTGTTGTAGGTAGCATTTGTTTCTTTCTTTCTTTTGTGATAAAATAAATTGAATTACAAAAAAATAAATAAATAAAATAAAAAAAAATATGAATCTCAGATTTTATTCTTCAATTGGAGTCCAGGAAAGAGAGAGTGAAAAATTGCTACCGGTGAGTGCGGATCAAACACAAACATCGCATGTAATTCCCAAAAAAAAAAAAAAAAAAAAAAAATGGGACGAATAATAAATCTGTATATTGATTTATGGATGCTAATTTTGGTATTATTAAAATACCACTAAAATCACTATACTTTCTCTCCCTATCTCTCCACTTAACCTACCCAAACACACCGACACACTATCCTCTCTTTTCTTTTCTCTCCATATCCCTCCAAATCATTCCTACCAAACACACCCTAAGGTTATGTTTGGTATGGTGAGTTTGAAGAGGAAGGATAATATTAGTTATGAGGAAAAGGGAAGGAAGGATAACTTTAATTCTCCGTTGTGTTTGATTGGTTAACGAAGAAAAAGAAATAGAAGTATAATAATTATGTTTGGGAAAAGAAAGGAAATGGAAGGATAATAATAAATTTATTATTATACCCTTATTATATTTTAAAAGATATATATATATATATATATATTCTCTTACATTTTGCTAAAAAAAAAAAAAAGAAAAAAAAAAAAAAGAGAAGAAGATTAGGGCAAATCATTTCAACATCCATCTCTAATCTCATTCTCAAAGCACCTCCATCTCTAATCTCGTTCTCAAATCTGAACTTGCCCTCTCCTCCTCCTCCTCCTCTCTCTCTCTCAAATCAAAACCCACATCTTTCAGTTTCCATCGCTGTTCCAGTTCGGGTTCGCTGTCCGCCGTTCGCAAGCTTCCCGCGCTGAATACATACCCAATATCAAGTGCAATTTTGAGGGTAAAAGTAGCATGACAAATATTATATGAACCATTGCCTTCTTTTTCCTTCCTTATCACCCTATTTTTGAAAAGTTAAAGAAATTACTATACATTGTTATGAAGAACTCCTCCAAACCCTTCCCTCTCCTTCCCTTTCCCTCCACTCACCTTATCCAAACACAAATTTTTTATAACCCTCCATTACCTTCCTTTCCTTTTTCCTTTCCCTTCAAACCCCCTCTACCAAACTAAGCCTAAATGTTTAAACTTGAAGGGGACGGTCAGACAGGAGCTGAAGGCAAGTGGTGAATTAAGAATACTGTGGTTTTTGAAGATTTGAAGGTCCTTACGGGAACGCGTTTAAGTAGAAAGTATAGTTACGTCACTGTTATTATATCAGTTGCAATATAATAGGTTCAGACAAACTTAATATAAATTTCTATAAATGACAAACTTAATATAAATTTCTATAAATGACAAACTTAGTATAAATTACTACTCATATAAACTATGATTATAGTACTCAGTACAGTTTTTTTTTTTTGACCAAGAAAAAATACAATAAAATGTCATGTTGATGTTCCCTCATATTGCTTCAACACTCGATATTTATGAGAAAAAAAAAAAACTACTCGATATTTATGGGAGTATATATTCTCTCTCTTACTTTCCTCGTTTAGATCCAAATCCCAATTGCATCATATCGCCATTACTTCCTAAGAGATATAGATCACAGCTCTCTCCACCATGGATCTTCCACCCGAAGACCTCCAATTCCTCACCATATCAGACATCTTCAAAGAATCAATCTCAATCCCTAAACAATCGCCCAAAACCTTCTACCTCATAACCCTAACCCTAATCTTCCCTCTCTCCTTCGCCATCCTCGCCCACTCCCTCTTCACCCACCCACTCTTCTCCCAAATCGAGTACCGCTCCGGCTCTCACACCCACCAGTGGACCAAGCTCCTCCTCTTCCAATTCTGCTATCTCATCTTCCTCTTCGCTTTCTCTCTCCTCTCCACAGCTGCTGTCGTCTTCACTGTCGCCTCTCTCTACACCTCCAAGCCCGTCTCTTTCTCCTCCACCATCTCCGCCATTCCCAGCGTCTTCAAGCGCCTCTTGATCACCTTCTTATGGGTTTCCATCACCATGATTGCTTACAACATTGTGTTTGTCTGTTTTCTGCTCCTCCTCGTCATCGCCGTGGATACCCAGAACACGTTTCTGTTCGTATTCGCCTTGATTGTGATCTTCATTCTTTTCTTGGTTGTGCATGTGTACATCACTGCGTTGTGGCATTTGGCTAGCGTCGTGTCGGTGCTCGAACCCGTTTACGGGTTTGCCGCGATGAAGAAGAGCTATGAGTTGTTGAAGGGGAAGATTGGGATGGCGTTTGTGCTAGTTTTCGGGTATATGGCGATTTGCGGGGTGATTAATGGAGTTTTCGGATCGGTGGTGGTTCATGGTGGGCTTTTTTATGGGGTGTTTGCGAGAATTACTGTTGGTGGGTTCTTGGTTGGAGTGTTGGTGATTGTGAATTTGGTGGGTTTGCTAGTGCAGAGTGTTTTTTACTATGTTTGCAAGAGCTTTCATCATCAAGGGATTGACAAGAGTGCTCTGTATGATCATCTTGGTGGCTATCTTGGAGAGTATGTGCCTCTCAAAAGCAGCATTCAGATGGAAAACTTGGACGTCTGAGACCATGGTGAGAGAATTATGTGCAACTCTTATTGTACCAAATGAAATGTTGTATAACAAGAAAAAAAAAAAAAAAAAACTTTGAAATAGGTGCGTGAGTATTTTCTTGGTTGGGTATTTATATTTGTTTGCCAATTGTCACATTAATAAATCGAGGAACTCCTTGTTTCTAATTGTTGGAATTGCTCAGTTGTAGTAATCATGTTAGAGTGACTGCTGAAATCCGTTGATTGATGGTAGTAATGTAAAACAAATTGTCATTTGAAGGATTTTTTCTGTTCAATCACACTTAATTGATCATTCATGGTTTTATTATTGCTATTAATTGAGTTTATTTTTGAGTCATCCGAGTGTGAATGTTGTTTAATCACTAGTAAACCACTCAAAATTCAGTGGCAAACATGTTCTGATCCCAGTTCATGACATTTGAATGTTTCTATGTGTTTTTTGTGGCACTTGAACATATGTTTTATTGGGCTTCATATTCAATTTTGTCTCAAGTGAAATAAATAACAAAGCAAGAAACTGCAGTAACCACTATAATCAATTGATAACAATGGCTGTCCAGTTCCGAATCTACTCTTTTGATTGCCCAGATATCCCTAGATGCATCATTTTTGGTCCCCAAATTAAATTGGACCACACAGAAAACCGTTGGGTCTAATGTCATTTTGGAGCTGACACCTTACCTTCTGAACCAACAGTCTTAACACTGCAACCATCCTCCTCAGTCCATTTAGATGATCAGCAGCCTCAATCCCAGTGGCTGTATCAAGTGCTACTGTGGTGAAATTTGAACCTACTCTATTGCCAAAGCCAAGGTTAAGATAGGGTTTAACTTCTGAGATTGCTCCTAAAAAATCAACGTCCCTGTATATACAGAATAGTAAACCAATGGTTTGAGATTCATCAATAACTTGAAATAAATTTACGAGTTTGTGACAGTGAACAATCTTGGTTTACTTTTTTTTTTTTTTTTTGATAAGTAATCTAGGTTTACAAGTTTTTATTATTTATTTATATTCTATGTTAAGTTTATTGCATTATCATGTTATAGTGAGATTCACCTTCATTGCTTGCTTGCAGTTTCATATTGTTTGGTATTTTATATTCTACTTTAAGTTTATTGCTGTATCAAGTTATAGTTAAGTTCTGTCTTTAGCACACGCAACTAAACTGTCCAGGTTCCACTTTTGGCAAGCATGTACCTTTTAAGCTTAGTTTGCAAATCCTGGATTACAAAATTATAGAACTTAGTCCTAGACTTCTACCGAACCTGATGCATGCATTCAAGCCCATATAAGCAAAGCACACTAATATCATTTAAGTAAGATGTTCAGTTTTATAAATGCTACCTCTTTGTTGTTTTGTAGCAATTCTTTGTGGAACCTTCCTCCATAGACTGAATAAAATTTTCCTTCAAGTTTTTCTTTCTTCCACACATTTCATATGTATTAAAATAATTCACTAAAGGTTACACATAACACTTGAATAAATTGCTTATTTGATGGAAAGCTGTCTGTCTTTCTAAGATCTAAGCGTAGAGATGGGAGGCATGTGTTATGAAGGGATATAGTTAGTAATTTACACATTGATTCCTCTGATATTAAACCTGCTCATTTTTTACTGCCCCCCATTTTTACAATTACCCACTCAATTCATGTTATGGATCACGTGATACAATGTTAGCTCGCTTTGAATTTAATTTTGCCAGCTCAAAAACCTTCCTCACCCCCGAATAAAAATTTATTAAAATATTAATGCTTCATTAAAGCAGTAAAAGACTAGTGCATTATTTGAACATATTTTTTTGCATGTCATATTTCAAATAACCACAAAGCTAGTTTTGCTAAAAAAATATGAAGTATCGTATTCTGCCTTCTTAAATATCAATCTAAACATATGCAATACAAGTCTATTTACATGATCATGTTGTGGAAATAAGCATACCACATGCACTTCTTGTAATGTTGATCTTTTATGACCTTCAATTCATTTTATTTTAAGGGGGGTTATTGATTTATTCATCTCTCTGCATTTCTTTGTGTAAAGAGTGGCTTGTGATCACATAGTTTTCTCGTTTTTAAGGCATATTGATAAATTAAAAGGACTGGAACACTAAGTTCTGATGTAGAGTTGCACAAGGTTTGTGATATGGACCTAGAGGGGGGGTGAATAGGTCTTGTTGCGTAAATTGGGCTGCTAGGTTGGGGAGTGAGGAAATTCATCTTTCTGTTCATCAAGGCAAGAGATCACCTTTTAGCACGGGAACATTCTAATTAAAATGATACTTGTGTAGTTATATCAAGGGGATACCCACTGCTGTTCTAGCTGATTAATCATGGAGGGATGATATGCATGTCCCATCTTCAATTCTTATATCCCAATTAAGGGAAGGGAGAGAAGGGGTGGACGTTTTTTTTTTTTTGGGGGGGGGGGGGGGGGGGAGAAGAGGTTGCCCTTGTCTTCCTCTATCATTATTATTGATTGTGCTGCTTCTGCCTTTTGGAGCTGTGTGATATATGTGCTTGTGGAGAGAGTTATCAGGTGACTTGGGTTGTCTTTCCACCACCTTAACCTCAACGGGCTGTATTTCTTTGTAGTTGAGGTCGATAGGAGGCCACCCTGATTCCGTCAAGCGGGCTCGAAGCAGTTCAATAGCATCTTTTAACATTATGATAGGTTTTTGGTCTTTTGAGCTACTTATTCATATGTTCCAATATGTGAATTATATTTGTGTTTGTTCTCATTCGTACTCGTGTGCATGCACATTAACACGACCTTGGATTTTGGTCATGGTCCAGCATTTCAGATGCCTTTCTTTTGACGTGGCTTGATTATTCTTTCTAATAATATATAAAAATAATTATTTGTTTAAATTTAAGCTGTTTCCTTCATTGTTCAGATATTACTTCGTTTTCGGGCCGGGCTGCAGAATCCAACTGTGCATTGCTTTCATTAGGTGGTTTGAATCATTACCTGCTTTATGGTTAATGATTTTATTTATTTTATGAGTTAAGAGACATTTTGTTGCATCTTTTGGTTTGTTTGGATCGCTATACTCATTTTTGGAAAATAATTTGACTTGTGATACTTTGAGACAAATATTTTTGCTATGCCCACATCTTGATTAAAATTCCCTTAGCATCGGGTATATGATACTCTGTCCTTTCACCAAGTCCCCTAGTGGTATGATGTAAATTGTTGCGTTAGTTTACATTATTTCATAATTTTCATGGAGTATATTTATGCTAGTTGATTTAGTAATAGTTTATGGTCCAACTCTCAACCTCTTTTATTGGTACTTGAAGGAACTGTAATTTCATCACCAACAAAAGACTTATCTGGAAATTTTGATAGGATCTGACCATGTAGCTTGAGATAAAGTAACATCGGCGGGGAGTTGTTGCACGTTGTCACAGAAGCTTACAGCAAGTTGAAGGCAAATTTTTTGTCTCTTCAAAATCTTGGAAGATACAAGAACCAATTTTTTTTGAGTTTCGAGAATTTAAGAATAACCTAAATCTGATGGTTAGTTTGCTGATAGTGCATGCTAGATTGAGGTTTGGGACACTTGGTTACTGTAATGAGTAAACATCAATCTTCTTTTAATGCATCCTTAAAGTTCAAATCAGAATGTGTGTGAAAACCACCAGGGAATCAAGTTCTCTGTGAAATGATAACCTTTATAACAGTGTATTCCTTTTCAAGTAATACCTTTGAAAGATATCCCACTTCAAATGGGTGGGGCGTCACCTAATTATGATGTGTGTGTAATGACTTCTTCTTTGTGTGTGTTGTTGAGGGGGGTGCGCTTTCAAACTTGAGATTTCATGGTAGTAATCCTGAGATTGTGCATTTGGCATACATTTTGTTCTTTTTGGCTGACTTCTCATTTGTTCCATACTTGAAGAACTAGGTTGTATGCTTTTGTGTTTTGTTTAGTTTATTATTTTTCCATTTTGTCTTTCTTCCTTTTTATTTTTTTGTTTTGCCTATACACAGTTTTTCAGGTTTAACTGAATCACTTCTTTCAAGGAGAGGAAAGATTTACATTCCTGCTTTTACAAAGAAATGTATATAGTCTATGCATTAGGGTAGGCCCTGTCTATATCTTGTTGCATTTAAATTCTTATTTTCCCAATCGTATCTTCATTCATATCATCTACATAAACATTTTCCATGCAAGAGTGTTGCAGGAAAAATTAGGTCACGACAGCTTGGCAACTTAAGTCGGGATGCTGTATATTCTGTAATAAAGGTTCTCGTGGAATTTTTTTCTTTTTTGGTAGGGCAATTAAGAGGTTCTTGTGGATTTTTTTTTTGGTAGGCAAGTAAGTGGTTCTTGAGGAATTTGTTTTTCACTTTTGTTTGTTTTCGTAAAATAGGGTAGCTATTGCAATTTTTTTTTTTTGGGGCTCCTAGTATCTTTTACTTGTGCTTGAACTTTGCTTGTTCAGTTCTCGATTCAGGTGATACCCAACTATTTTGGATTCTTAGTTAATGAAAATTTATGTCCACAATGCATTCATGTTTTTTTTGGTTTTGTTTTCAGCTATTTGGGATTTGTGAATTTAGACCAACAGTTTGTATGGTATCTTGGGTACTCAGCTGTTTATACTACCATGTTTCAGTTGGCTTCCTGTGGAGAACTGTCATGTTAATGGTTTCATTTGTGTTTGTCATCACTCCTACTCTCTGTTTATATTATTCTTGGATATTTCATTCATATTATTCTTGGATATTTCATTCGAGGGAGGAGTTGGTGGCCCTTGAAGGAATGTCTCTTACCCACGTAATCGAAAATCATGATTGGACAATATCTGCACAGCGTGAGGCAGATTTTGGAAATGTAGTTCCAACTTTCAAGGAACCAACTCCCAGACAATATCTGCACAGCGTGAGGCGGATTATGGAAATTTTGTTCCAACTTTCAAGGAACCAACTCCCAGATATATGTCATCTGCTTTCCTATTTGTTCCTAAAAAAAAAATGATGTTACCAAGTTGGTCTTTTCTTACCAAAGACCAATAGTTCCATCACCGTACCTAACAAAGGCATTGTCCACCAAATTAAAATTGGTGATAAATTGACCTCTCTCTCTCTCCAAATTAAATTGGTGATAAATTGACCTCTTTCACACACAAACAGGGCAACACAGACACAGAAAGTGATGTTGAAGCGTAACCCTAAAAATGAGATTTCAATCCAATCGTACCTCGAATTAAACATGACCAATTTCTTTTTTAGTTCTACCAAGGTCTTGTGAAATAATCTAAACTCACCCTTCTTAAAATCTCAGATCTAAGGGATTTTCTAAAAAAAATAAAAAAATGGATACCATATCATAATGGGTTAAACACATCATTTTCATGGACCGTCACGTTGTTGTGAATAGTTGTCTCAGCTTCCATTCTTCCCCAATTAGTTTATGAACAGTTATAAAGGATCAAACAAATCAATTTCATGCACCAACTGTTCCACGTGCATTTATACATTGTACAACAATCACATGTTTCTTCAAAATGATTATGGAATCCCCTTTTACTTGATACTTAAAATGTAATCCAGAGCAAGTGGCTTATTCAAAACCTCACACATTCTTCATCAAATGGAGTTGCTATAGCTTGCTCCTGGGGATCCCCACAGGCGCATCTCTAGATCTCCTCTCCACTGTTCGAGAAAGTTGTTTCACCGCCTCTTTCGAATAGTGGCGAGGACTGCTTAACCAAAGTCCCCCGTCAACGACCAATGTTGTTCCATTGATGTATTTCCCTTCAAGCAAGAGAAAAATGAGATTAATTTGTATTTTGTTCCAATAGTGTAGACCAAGACAAATCATGTGAAAAGAAAATTCTGATTTATCAGAATACTCTGAACTTCTTTCAAATGACAAATACTTCTTGCTGCCCTTAATGTGCATAGCTACAGATTAAATTGAATTAGATATACATTTCAAAAGCTATTCCATCTAGGTTTGCTTCAGAACCTAACAGCAGTAAAAAAAAGTAGTTGTAGAGGACAATCATAAGACCTACATCACTTTCATTTTTTTCTGGTTTCCGTTTTCAAATCCTCTCATTAAATACATGGCTTTTAGAAGTTCTTGCTACAAAGTTTTCGTTGTTCTATCATTTTTAATAATATTTAGGGTGTTCTTGCCTCCAATGTATATCATATAGCACTTCCCCGTTTGGGAACCATGGAGTTAGCAGCCATCCACTTTAATTTGAAACATATCAAAGAACCATGGAGAAATTTGAGCTAAACAAAAACATATAATGCTGTGGATTTTGGTTCTTTTGGCCCGCGCTAAAACATCATCGATTCATCGGAGTTCTGTTCTCACAGTTTCTTATGTTAACAGTTATTTTATATTGAAGGATTGGAACGGAAAGAAAGGAAAGGAAAAGGAGGGGAATGTTAGATCATGTTAAAAATAAAAAGAAAAATGAGGGGAAAAGAAGTAAGAGGGAGGGAGTTGTTCCCCTCAAATAGTGATATTGTGTTACTAAGAAAATTAACAGGAAATAGAGGGAGAGGATGAGTGGATTCATTTCATTTACTTTCTCTCCACTATCTCTTCCAAACATGATCAATGGCTTAGTACCATCCTTTCGTTTTTGTTTTTCTCCTAAACAATGCTATCATTTCCTCCTTCTTTTTCCCTCACTAATTGCACCACAAAAGATTAAGCAAAAGGACACATTCAAGTCTATGTCGAGAAAACACTTCGAAAGGAGTGACACTTATAATCCACCAATGAAGCAAAGCCCTAACAAGTAGCCCCCCAATAAGTATCATCTCCTTACTTCCTCTTCTTCTTCTTTTTATTTATTATTTTAACAATGAAATAGTCTATACCACACATCTTGAATCCTAACCCTAAAGAAATGTTGTGCTAAACAGCCTAAATTTAAATGAAATATTCAACTGCATCCCCTTCATGGAATATCCCTTTTCTCCACTATAAACTCCCTAAATTAATCCTTCCTTTACTTAGAGAGCATTAAGTGAACTATGCCGTAAATGATGGAGTTACACCCACACCTAGGAATTTTTTAGGAATTCTGAGCAAGGTGTACAGATAATTAAAGCATCTTATTTTGGTTATAGATGTAAAGGACCTTGTTCGGATAAAGGAGGGTTGCGTTAGGTAGCTTGACAGCCAGTGTAAAACTATGTCACCAATGTGAACACGAATCCTATGAATATGAACATGTAAAGTACCTTGCCAGTGTGGATAAGTAAACAAGATTACTAACCTGCATCAGATGCGAGGTAAAGAGCAGCCATAGCAATATCCCATTTCTCCCCAAGTTTAAATAAAGGAACATGCTCTCTCCTTTTGCTACTTATCTCCTCAGGTGCAAGTTTTCGAACACCAGCAGTGCCTTCAATAGGCCCTGGTGCAATCCCGTTCACTCTGATATCATAATCTGTTCCCCACTCTAACGCCAAGCTTCTTGTAATGCTATCAACAGCTGCCTGGTAGAAAAGGAAACCGTAAATAAACAAAAGTGAACAAAGATTGGAAAATAAAATTCTATGAAATTTCTTCTTGTTTTGACAAACCTTCGCAGCAGAAACATGGATTTGGTACCAAGTTGCTGTATAATGCAAAGTTGCACTTATGTTTATAATTATTCCACCACTAGATGGGTTCTTCCCTGGTCCTCCTTTCTTAAGATACTTGAGCGCTTCATGGCACATTGTAAAAGTGCCAACAGAATCTATATCTATCACTGCACAGACCATTCAAAACAAAGAAACGTTTTGTCAAAAGCCTCTTAAGAGCCTCGTATGAGACGGAGAGCACATTAAAAGAGTAGCTTCATGTTGTAGAGGAGACTCCTGCCTTGATGCGATCCACATTCTGATCAACCATATATGATGCATTCTAGAATCATTTAGAACTGAAGGTGTATTTATGGCTGAGTTTATTGATTTACTAAAGAATTGACAGTACCCATGTAAGTAACTCCATTGTGCTTGCTTAAATTAAACACTACAAAGCTGCAATAGCGATTTACTTACATGGAAAATTGTCAAGAGGTATTACCATTGTTTGTGTAATGGCTCCGTTTTCCACAAAGACTTCATTAAGCACCCATAAATTTTTACTTTGGCGGGATACTAAGTAATTATTTTTTAAAAATTAATGGTAAAATTTTTTGCTTTCCAATATGTGTAAATTACAGCCTAATAAAATGAGGAAAATACCACCTTATGGAGTTTGGAGGCACCACATGTTTAACTTTAGTCATTTTTTTTTCCTCGGGGAGGGTGGTGCACCCATGGCCAAACAACAACCTAGAATACTATCTCAGCTAATGTTAAATATTTTTTTTTTCTCTCTCTCTCTTTTTCCTATCATTAACATCAACATGGGCCACAACAGTATTAATCCTCATTGGTGCAAATTTTGGTCTTTGTTGTATACAAAAGCCATTTTAGTCAGTTTTCACTCATTTTATCTCCAATAACTGTTGCCTCAACTATTTCATGAATGTAATGGATTCTAATTTTATCAATTTTTGTACTACCATAGAGTAGAAATATAAAAAGAAAAAAAATGAGAGAATTGTGTAAAGGCTTGAATGAGATGAATCACTCATTCATAGCTCTAGTATTTATAGATAAAAATAGCACATGCTCATATTACAAGAAAGGAAACTAAATCAAATCTAAATCAAATCACAGCATATTCTAAAGCATATTCTATACCATAATCAAATCTCTGCTAATATGGTAAGTCATTCCATAATCGTGTCTATCATATATGCTAACTCATAGATCCATCTCAACGTCTGCATTTCAACCAAGTTCATCTTATGATAATTGTTTCTTAATGGCACAACATTTTGTCCTAAAAATGCATTTTAATTTTGAGGTATACATTGATCGTATAATAATACCGGTATTATAAGCACTCGTCCTGCTTTAGTTATATAAGTAGAGTCATCTTCTATCTTTCCCCTTATGTGTTACTCAACCTAGGTAAGGAAAATATTCACTTTTTGGCGTCTCTAGACCGTCAATTTCACTATATCCTTGTTTGGCATATCTAGGCTTTCTTCCAATTCCAAGGAGCCGATTTCTGCCCAAACATAGCTTTAGTACCTAAGATGAGCAGCGATTCAGAACAACTCAAAGTAACTCAAGTTAACTTCTAGGACACACAAAGGTCTCAAACACAGACACTATATTGCTAGCTAATAGAAAATCTAATCAAGCTTTTAAAGAATTTTCCAAATCATTTCTCCATGAAATGTCAAAGGAATCTGTTTGATATATAACCTGTTCGAAAGCCGTTAGGAGACAAATCCTCTGCTGGAACAAGGAAATTGCCAGCTGCAGCATTCACAAGAATGTCAAGCTTGCCAAATTGGTTAATAGTCGATTCTAAAACTCTAATTGCATCATCTCTTTTGCGAACATCCCCCTCGAATCCAATAGCCTGCAGCATAGGCAGCAAGAGATGCAATTCGGAAGTCAAAAAACCATATAATAATTCAATCACTGAACAACTGGAAGCATGTCAGGAAACAATTTGGCAAAATTCAAACAGAAATCAAATGTCAAATTATCGCACACTTTGAAACCAAATGTGCAATTCTGAAGTCAGAAAACCGTATACTTTTGAATGAAAGTTAATGATACTAAATGACTTTGTTTCTTTTGAGTTTATACACAATTTTTTTACATGTGAGTGACAGTTTTTTGTGTTGTCATCTGATTGTGGATATTGCGCTACACTTCTGAGATCATCTAGAACGATCACAGCAGCAGGATCATTTGTGTTTTCTGCGATCACTAGTGGAAGGAAAAAGACATTTGATCATTGTGAGAAGCGGAGCATCATGAGGTGATTGCATTGGTATTGATAAGTGCTGCTGGTAATTCTGAAATTACCAGGTGATTTCAAAAGCACTAGCATTGGTGACTCATGGAAAACAGTTTCGAAAATACTGAAATTCGTTATACTCTGTCTCATTATAGTGGATCAGTTTGCCTAAGACAGTATAGTCTCTATGGTTTTTTCTCGTTGAGGTTTTTCATGTAAAAAATCCCGGTGTCGTCTTCCGTGTTCTTTATTTTGTACTTTGCATGCTTGTTAATTGCCAAGTTAAATTGGATAAAATTAAAAACAAGCAAAAAGAACAAACTATCCTCCAAGTCCTTCTAACTGGGACAATTTCAAACTACTTCTGCATTGCACAACTCTAAGTTGATTAGTTTCAGATTATTAGGCACTAGTAGTTGTAATGAAGTATTCTTAGCCTTTACGTTCAAGCGTTATCTTCTACATTTTCCATATGAATGCGTGAGGTTTTAGGGTCGGCTTGGTTCAATTCTCTAAAATTGTTCTAAAAAACTCACAAAACAAAAATTTATTTTTACAGAACTATAACGGATAGTTCTAAAAAAAACAAGCTTTTTTTAACTGAGTTATCAAAATAATTTTCAGAAATAGTCAACCAAACAAATTTTTTATTTTTTTTATTATATAAATTTCTGATTTTCACAGAAAATCAGACAAAACCAAATAGCTCCTTATATTTTCTCTAGTTCTCTCTTTGGTTGCCCAAAGATGAACAAGAATCTTAAATGCTATATTTGGCGGCACCGAATCTGCGCCTTAGATTTAGAATTGGAGAAATTTTAGTACAAATTTTGAACTAAAGTTCCTCCAAACCCAATTCCAAAACACTGATTCGCTCCAAACAAAACATAAAAGTTATAAAATATAATAATAATAAAATAAAATTTGGGACATTTTCAGGAAGAAACTCAATTCAATTAAACTAAACCAATCACTATTAGTTCACCCAAATAAAAAAGAAGGAAGATAACAAATATGACAAGAAAATGAGAAAACAAATAAATACTAAGCTCTGTTAAAATTAAATTAATAATAATAATAATAATAATACTTAAAAGATTCTGATTTTCTTTTCTTTTCCTGCATTTTCTCAGGAACCAAAAAGAAATTGACATGGAAAGTGAAATTACTTGAATGCTCAGAGATCGAAGAGCAGAGACGGCAGAGTCAACGACGTGTTTGCGTCGACCCATGATGGCAATAGAGGCTCCATGTTTGCCCAACTGTGCAGATATCTCGTACCCAATTCCTGAACCCCCACCAGTCAACAGAGCCACCTTCCCCTTCAGTATATCACTCTTGAATGGAGACTCCATTGAACTATAACCCCCTCTCTCTCTCTGTATGTGTGTGTGTGTGTATATATATATAGTATTACACAACACTAATAGTCAGTTTCGTGAATGGCCGGCTATTATAGTTATTAGTTATTACCAAAGAAGCACCAACGTGAGGACTTTATGGACACATGTCCCATATTTTACGCACACGTCTAAAATTTTAAAAAATCTTTTATTAATTTAAAAATATTTCACATTCCAAACACAACCACAACAAACTTCACCAAGCCCATTTACTACCTTCTTACAATCTTGAAAACAATAATTCAAATTTCCAAATTTTCCAACCTTCATTTATTATAAGAGAAAATTGACTATATACACCTTAAGTAATGATAAATAGTGAAACAATATATTCATGTTTCGATAGAGATAATCAAATATATTTGACTAATTTATATGAATAATTGTTGATGTTATCATTGCATTAATTATATTAATGATGTAAATCAATCATATATATTCACACATATGACAGTTTCACAGGTGGTGAATGATTTTGACTGTCTTTCCTGTTACAATAAAGTGCTGTCGGAGTCTATGCCATTTAAAATACATTAATTTTCATGAATTGTGGCCAGCTACATTTGACTGATTTTATTGGAAGGTTATATTTACTGTGGGTCCTACCTTTTTTTTTCTTTTTTTTTAAGGCTTTACAATAAGAATCAAGACAGTGAAATGGGCTGGACTTTAGCTGAACTAGTGGACCACACCTAGTTCTTGTAAGGACCACGGTCGGCCCAATAAGTGTGGGTTGGGTTGGATAGAGAGCATCATTGTTATATGTACTGGGCTTGGTGGCAAGAAGTCATACATATAACTGAAATAATTCGGCTTAATCACCAACTAACCATTCTTAAGAGATTAGAACTGAGTGATTTATAGATCAAGTTTCATGTAGTGAAGATCACTGAGTTAACTCCAGTTAGGGACCATATGACCCGGACAAACTAGGTCTTACGAAAGGTAGGGTCACAACTTGGGCAGTTTTAGTCGAGTCGTTGGCCCAAAACAAGGCCATACGAGGCAGAAAATGCTACCGGTAACCATCACTGAGTTAACTCCAGTTATGAGCCATATGACCCGCGGACAAACTAGGTCTTACGAAAACTAGGGTCGCAACTTGGGCCCTTTTAGTCGAGTCGTTGGCCCAAAACAAGGCCATACGAGGCAGAAAATGCTGACGGGAACCCGGCCCATTTCTATCTCGAATTATGGTGTCACATGCAACCAACTCTAGTTTGTTTTTTTTTTTCGGAAGGTAAATGCAACCAACTCTAGTTGAGACCACAGAACCAGCAGTTTGTCACTTTTTTTAATAGAACTGCAAGGCCCAAATTATTGCCATCGGTGTGTTATGGGCTTGTCATTCAATGACTCTGTGTGTGTGTGTGTGTGCGCGTGCATGAGAGAGACAGATAGAGAAGAGGGGCATATTCTTATCTTATTAGTCCCATTCCTCATATTAGTCAATAATAGTTACCTATATTAAGTTGACAAATTCAACTTCAATAGTGACATCATGATATGGATCTTTTTTGGAACCAAACTTTGGTTTCTATTTTTGTTCAAGCGAGCTCTAGCATATATCGCTTTACTTTTACCACAATACATGTCAACGATCTCTTTTTTTTTTCTTTTTTTTTTTTTAATATATATATATATATTTATAGTGTAACATGCGTAAATTATTTACCCTTATAATGTTATATCACTCTACATAAAATATATATTAGATTGACATGGACTATGTGTGGTCCCAATCAAAATTCTCCGATTAAAAAAGAAATTTCTTAGCACAATTTTCATTATTTAATAAAGAAATTTGAACATTTATTTTGATTAGATTAATCACAAAATAACATATGGTTCTAAATTATCTAATGATTTCTCCACATCAGATATAAGAGTGTTAAGATATGAGTTGCCAAGGATAACTCAAGAGTCAAGGGCTCATACACACATTTCTCTCGTGTATGTTTAAAGTAAGGCTACAAATGAACCTTACCAGACAAAGCTTCATTCTATTTGAGCTCGGTTCATTTGCTTGTTAGCTTAACTCAGCTCGTTTAATAAAAAAGAGTCGAGTTTAATCTAATATTCTAGTTCAAACTAGGTTTAAGCTCATAATGTTCAAGATCGTTTGATTCATTTAGTAAGGTGATATTTACAATAACAAATTACGAATACACTTAAATCATTATATTTTAATTTTATACTTTTTATGAGGATATGACAAATTATAAATGGATGTATACTAAACGAGCATGTGCTCATGAATGTACACAAGTCTAGATGAACTCAGTGCCTATGAGCCTACACGAGCGGAGCTAAATAATGTTTAGGATCACCTAGTCTATTAAGCTAATTTAAAAATTGAGTTCGAATTTAAAACAAATTGATATCAGACTGTTTATAAACAATTCAGTTCATTTGCAGTCTTAGTTATAAACAATTTAGTTCATTTGCTATCTTAGTGTAAAAAGAGAGACAAGTCGAGTTAGACTCAAGTCGCTGAAACTCAATATAACAATTTATAGTGAGACCAATTTAAAATATGCCGTCCAAACTCGAGCCAAATAATAAGAATAAAGTTTAAAAGAAAATCCATATCTTTTCATAAACACCCTTCAAACTTTTAGAATTTCATTTTATATAAATATTAATCTTCAAAGAATAATGCATTAAAATCATGTCTCACTCTAAAGATGTAATGCCGAAAATGAACTAATAAAGTGGAATGCATGGAGTAGTATTGCATTCTTTTCAACATTTTATACTTTATATATATACTTTAAAGAATAATTCAACAATTTTAAAATAAGATAATGCTCTAAAGATGTAATGCCGAAAATGAGTGAAATGGATGGAGTATTATTGCATTGTTTATGAACATTTTATACATTATTAAAAAGTAAAAGTTTAAACAATAATTGGATTTATATGAGCATGGTCACAACAACATACAATTATAAAAGGCAATAATACCTACTATATGGTACAAGTGGGTTGGGTTGGTAGGAGAGGCACTTCATTTTAATTATACCACTCACCATTCTCGATTACTCAACGTTCGCATCCAATTGTCTAATCGAAAAAATACAAAAGGAAGAGAAGGTTAATGACAAATACTAGTTGGTGCACTCGCACGTCATAGATAGACCCTTAGGTGCAGCACCCTTTGTCCTCTTCTACAAAACTTGCTACGCATAATGTGTATGTGTAGAGACAAATATTATTCTTTAAGAGATATAATTAATAATGAAATTAAAATCATGAGGTTTTTTTTTTTTTTTTTTTCCAAACATGTTTTCGCTTTTCAACTTTTAAAAATAGATGTATGTTACCAAACGTGTTTCGTTTTGACAGAAATAACAACACAACTTTTCAAAAATAAAATGGTAGCACAACTTTTCAAAAATTACCGTTTTCAAAAGTCAAAAATGAAAACCACACCTTTATCTAACAGGGCCTTAGAGCATCTTTTATTTTGCTTTTAAAAAAAAACTCATTTAGGGGTCATTTGTTGTTTTGGTTTGGGTTTTTGATTTATATAAAGCAAAAATAATGGGTTCAAAAAAATTCTGGTTCTCTGAGAACAATTTTATATTTTGTGAGATCTTGAAAACTGTTTTCAAAATTACAAACTAAGTATGTTCAATGTTTTTGTTGTAGTGTAATTTATTCTGAAATAAAAACATGTTTGGCAACTAATTGTTGCACAATGTTTAAAAACAAAAGAAAAAAAAAATTTGTTTGGATGATTGTAAAAAATATGATATTTATTACTTTTGAAAAATAGTATTTACATTATATTGTTTTTTTAAAAAAATAAAAATAAAAATTCAATCTACAACAACAAAAATAACTAAGTTTTTTTTTTTTTTTTTCTTGCTTTCGGATTTAGGGCTCTTTCTAAAGCAAATGCAGTACTAATTGTGGGTAAAATATTTAGAATATTTTTTATGCATCACTGAGCATGATCCGAGGGCTCGAAATATTAATTTGGAGACGTGAGAAAGATAGTAAGAATTTTATCTATTTATTATTATAATTAATTTTTAAATTTTAAATTTTATAGTAGGATTTATTAGTGTTCATTTTTTTTTTTTTTTTTTATGTATATAAGTGTGTGTGAGTTGGTATTATTAGAGTTGCACTGCACAATCAACCGAATTTGATTCCAATTGTTGTGGTGGAAACGCACAAAATAATAACGCAAAAATAATAACGCACGTTGTTACAAGAACACAAGATATTTTAAATAATAACGCACGTTGTTACAAGAACATAAAATATATATGGGTGCCTATGGAACACATCGAACAAATTCACTATGAAAAAAATGAAGAATTATAAAGAATTCTTTCCCAATTTCTCTCAATTGCTTTATCACAAATTTTCCTCTAATTTTCACACCCTCTAAAATCTTATTAGAGTTGATATTTATAGGGTCCCAAACTTGTCCTACAAGAACTTGCCTTTTGTAGAATCCAAAATCAATAAAGAAGTTAAATCTGATTAGGAAACTGAATTTTTCTTAAAGGAAGTAAAATCAGATCAGGAAACTGAATTTTAGAAAATTCAACATTATTCAAGTTTTCATATAATTAAATTTTTCTAAAAACTAATTACGACTCCATAAGTGAAAGACAAATTTTTATGATGATTATTGAAAATTAATATTCTATTATTCATTGCTCTCTCATTTGTCATGAATCAATCCTTCTTGTTCTATGAAGTTCATTGTCTTTTTAGAAATTAATAATATGGAGCCGCAATTAAAATTTGACTTTGCTATTAGAAGTTTCTTTGAATGGTCAATTTCTAGCAAGGCGTTGTACAAAAGCAACTTGCCAACTTCTCAAGTGAGCATGGTAGCCGCAAAGTGACATTTACAAAACCGCCCCTATTATAGAAATCAAACCCTTAAACGAAATTTAGTGTTAAGAAAGTCTAAATTAAACGATTTGATTATTCTTAAGGACTAATAAAATATCTTAGATAATAGTACTATTAGAAACTTGTTTAATGTCTAGATTT